TACAAGCCTTTGTCCCCTCTTGTTTTTCCTTCTTAAACTATGTTTTCCAATATTTAGTCCTTAACACCACCAAAAGTTTCAACATCATAAATGAATGTGGCTTTATCAGTGGAAGTGACACTACGGAAGATGCATTTTATCATGTGTTACTATACCAGAAGAATTACTGGTCTTTTCTATTTGCTCTACAGTTGAAATCTCTGTTGTATGCTGCCATCTTCACGACTTGAAGCACCATGAATTGAAGAAGATGCAGATTTAATTTTTAGACTTCTTCCTACCACCCTGTTCTCTGTAATAGATTTGGGTGCCTTGGCTGCAGGTTATCTTCACGGTAGTTTGTTTGTTTGGTTTGGTTTTTATTTTTTTGTTCGTTTGCTTTCGCAAATGCTTGTCATGAGCTCTGCAACATGAGTCGATTCGGCCGCCACCGAAATGATGCTTCTTGTTGTATTTGGAGGCACATTAAAGCCAATGCTGCTGAGTCGTGTATTTGCCTCCCCCAGAGAACCATCAAATCATCCTTCCGTTTAGATGTATCTTTGTTGGATCCTCCAGTTTCATTCCTAGCAAGGATTTCAAGGATGATAAAATTCATTTTTCTCCAGTGAATTTCCCACTTGTTAGTCTCTGCACAACTTCACGTTTAGAGTATCAGTGGTGCAGATAATGATTATGGGCAGTTCAGAAACTGCATATCTTAGCGTCCTCTACTCCCGCTTTCCACTGATTTGCTATTATCACTGAGGAAACACAGGAGGAGGGACATTTTGTATTTGTCTTTGTTTCACGAGTGGCCAAAGAATTCTTTATCACCAAATATCCAGACTAATGGGGATGGACTTTTTTTTTTCATACTTCACTCTCTTGGCCTGCAAGGAAGCATAGATAGTCTGTTACCATGACTGTAGCTGAAGTATTTCCAGCTTGGTGGAGCTGGTCTGAGCTGATACTCATTGAAGATAGCCTCTTCACCAAGATGAGAGATCAGCATAGAACTTTGGAAGGGAATTCTACATTAAGTATGTAGGATCATTGAATCGTAGAATTAGAACTGGAAGCGACCTCAGAGTCCGTCTAGCTCAACCTCCCATTTTAGAGGTGAACAGAGAGGTTTAAGAGCTTAAGAGATTTGCCTAGGATGCCATAGCTAGTATCTGACGCAGGATTCACATTTAGATCTTTCTGACGCCAAGCCCACTTCAATTCCATTTGAACAGCAACCTCATATACATTATTTTTACATCTTCTCCAGTAATAAGTGCTGTCCTGGATTTTGCACATACGTTAACTGTATAATGGTTCTATGATCTCATTTATATGGATACTCTCCATTGCTGGAGATTATGACCTATGCACGCTTTGGGGGTCCCCTCCACTCTAAGATTTGGTAATCCTGTGATTTACATAGTGGTAGATGCTATTTGGAGTACTGAGAAGTATAAGATTTGGCTGACTCCTATTCTCATCTTGGGCAAGTCATCTAAGCTCTGTGGGCCTCAGTTTCCTCATCTGTGAAGTGAGGGAATTGGAGTAGATAGTCTCTCAGATCCCCTTCTGATCTAGAGCCATGATCCAGTAACTTTTGGCTTTAATTGGGTTATAAGGAGTTAATCGGTGAAACGTATCATCGATCAATCCATTACCATTCATTGTACACCTACTACGCGCCAGACAGTAGCTGTTGTCTCTTTCAAGTCATTTCATCTCAGCTTCAGTCCCCTCATCTAGACAAAGGGTGTACTAACATTTTTGCGTCCTCCCTCACATTACAACAGACATGGCTGTTTTAAGAAAGGCTCTTTGATTCCAACTCATACTCTTGGCCCTGATTCTCTTATACCCCATCAGTTCACAGGGTTGTGATCCTGAGCTACTTTTATTCAAGATATAAAACTCCTTTCAGTTAACTGAAGTTTTTATAAGGAATTAGAATGAGCCCTCAGTCAAACTGTGATGGAGTCAGCCAGGAGCTCCAGACCTCACCTCTTGTCAATGGAGGGCTGGTAAATGTTTTAACCGCTGCCTCTCAGGGGAGAAAATGTATGCATGACACATTTTAATAGTTCACTTTAACCTGAATTACTAACACTTTCTCTATCTCTTTCTTAAGCCTAGACCATCAACAAAACAATAAATCAACCCCTGATTTGTAGCTGTGGTCTATTCCCGAGGTATAAATGCTCACAATGAAAATTTAGCAATCCATTCTGGCCAGTATGTCGACCCTCAGTTTTAGGCAGCTAGTGCCCTCATCACCTATAAAAATCTGCCCTCTGGAAAGCTTTTATAGCAATCATTTACACCTTAGTGTGAATTTAAGCTGTGGTATGAAAATTCTTCATTGGGAATTCCTTATACCAATAAAATCATGGGTCCTGCCCTGATCCTTCTCATTATTACTTTTCCCAGTCCCTGAATGATAAGCATTATTTCTAAAGTTTTGGATAGGAGAGGGACAGTAGGCTAGATGGCCTTTTGGAAATTTAACAGAACTTTGAAAGGTCTCACACTGATCCCTGACATTCACACACAGATTTAAAAGCCATATTCTCCTGGTAATATCACATGGCTGCAAATCATGGGATATCGCAAAATCTGGAAAATCAAAATTAGAGGTGAACCAATGCAATGGAAAGATGCCAGGGGGTATAAGTGTGCAGCATATCCCCACCAATGACTTGTGGGCAGGAGGCAGCAGGAAATACATCAGCACAGAGATATATGATTTAAAAAAGAAGTTTAATCTCTTGCTCCATTCCACTGAACTCAATTAAGCAAACATTTGCTATATGCCTACCCTGTGCAGCCACAGTGGGTTAGGTCCTAGGGATACAAGGGCAAAAGCAAACAGCTTTGAAGGAGCCTTCCATAGGAGGCTACATATCTCATTCTCAACTGCACCAGTACCCATGGAATATTAGAACATCTGGACGTAGGCCTTCAGTAGTTGGGGTAGTCTTCTTTTGAGGGTTTATGGAAGGACCTAAATAAGAATCACATAGGGTAGGAAAACATGGATGGGTTACATTGTGCAACACCAGTGGGTGTCAAGATGTGTAGGAGTATCTCTCACTATTAACCTCCCTGAGTCTTGATTTCATCATTTTCCAAATGAAAGATTTGGACGAGACGAAGGGAAAGCACACCCCCTTTAGAAGGGTGCGTGGTTTAGTTTTATTGAAATGCTTTCCCTGTCTCTTTTTTATTCTTTGTTACAAGGGATTCAAGGCAATACCATTTGGTGCAATGCTGTCAAATTAAAATAGAAATGGGGCTCCTAAATCATCCATAAGGATCCCGGAGTGTCTTAAATTGACTTGGAAAACCACATATTAATATTGCCTGTGTTTTATTGTATCTATTTTGTTAAATATTTCCTCATTAAATTTTAGTCCAGCAACTGCAGCATGTTTGACACCTCTGCTATAGTGGATGCAGAGCTGGCCTTAAAGCCAGGAAGACTTGGGTTCAAGTCCTGCCCCTGACACATACTTGGCTGTATGACTCTGGACAAATCACTTAACCTCTAACTATTCTAGGTAACTTTCTATAACTATAAGTTGCAGAAAATCTTCCAACTTACATTAGTAGAATAAGTTCCCCCTACCAATGAAATCTTAGGTCTAATCCCTATAATAATCATAGCAATGACAGCAATAATAGATGGCATTTATCACGTTTAAGGTTTGAAAACAAAGGCAGCCAGATGGTGCTTTGGATAGAGTGCTGTGCCTGGAGTTAGGAAGACTCATCTTCCTGAGTTCAAATCTGGTCTCAGACACTTACTAGCCGTGTGACCCTTGGCAAGTCACTTAACCCTGTTTGCCTCAGTTTCATCTGCAAAATAAACTGGAAAAGAACATGGCAAACCACTCAGTGTCTTTGCCAAGAAAACCTCAAATCGGGTCACAAAGAGTCAGGCATGACTGAAAATGACTGAATAAAAACGACAACAAAGGTTTGCAAAGCACTTTAAATATGTAGAGTTGATCCTCATGACAGCCTTGGGTGGTAGATACTACTGTTATCTTCATTTTGCAGAAGAGGAAACAGGCTGAGAGCTGTTCAGCCAGCTGCTAGGTATCTCAGGCAAGCTTCAAACTCACCTCTTCCCAACTCTAAGCTCAGCACTCTATCTACTTATGCCTCCTGTAAGGGATGGTTCTCTAGAAGAGGAAGGAGAGGAATGCACTTCGAAATGTAGGTGATGTAGAAAGAAAAGCTAACAATAAAAATTAATGTTTTTAAAAAGAAAAACATCCTCTCTTGGGCTCTCTGGGACCTCCTCTGTGATTGGGCTTGGCTAAGTGGTCAGCTTCATTCCCAGTACAGTAATTCCAATGGGAAGGATTGCAAACATCCCCTTGCATTTTCTGACCCTCTCCATTCTCTTGTACACAGTGCCAAGACCTTGAGAAATAAGATAAGGGGCCCAGGGAAATCCAGTCCTTCACCAGCAAGAGAATAAACACAGACATTCCAGATTAGAAGTGGTCTGTGGCTTTCCAGAACTTTTGAATTCAGAGATTTTTGGACAAAATCATTTGCTATTCAATGACATTTGTTAACAGTAATGAGGGCAGCTGCTTGGAGCTTTATCTTCCCTGACATATAAAAATGAAGGTCCACTTTAGCACACTTCTCACCACTACCCCTACCTAGTTTCCAAAATGGCAGTTTTTAGCAGGCTCCACACTGCCCTCTAGTGTACAAACTTAAGCAGCTCGGAGGACTTGGGCATTCTCTAGGCCAGGAAGAGCTGAAAAGAAACTGGGCAAGGGAAGAGCAACTCTTTCTAGTCACTGATGAATGAATGAAAGAATCATAACTATTAAATGAATTAATGAATGATTTATGACAACTGTTGAATGAATGATGTCTATTAAATAAATAATGAATGGATGAATGGCACATTTATTGGAGATGAATGATGGGAGAAACTGAGGGCTCAGGAATGATGAAGAAGGACTCTTTGACAAGGTAGAGAACACACTTACCATCAGCTCCCCATAGGATGAAAGAAGGCCAGCTCCATAAGCCTTGATGGTCCCATTCTGTTTACAGAGACCAAACTCCACAGTAAACCAGTAGAGCTGATCATGCAAAAGAGGAAAAGCAAATGGTCAGAACCAAATATTTCAGGAATAGCATTCAAGAATAGGAAGACACCATGAGATTTGGAAAGATCATTCCAGTTGGAAATGATCCTTTCCATTTCTCTAAGTACTTGTCCCCTTTTTCGTTTGACCTCACGTACTCTTCAAACTATAGAGAATGAAGTGCTGGACCAGGAAGACCTGGTGACTTCAAATCCTACTTCAGACTTTCTCCAGTTGTGTGACCCTGGCCAGGTCATTTGACCTTATTCTGGGCCTCAATTTCCTTCTATGTAAAAATAGGGGATTGAACTAGATGACTCTCTCAGGTTCCTTCTAGGGCCAAAATTATGATTCTATGAGTGGACCCATTATTTCATTGGTGGAGGGGACTTCCAAATTAGGAAAACTCCTTTACCTATTCAGTTTTTCTGAAATTTATGGTCTTACTTCCCCCAGTCAGAAGTTAGATGACTTGTTCAGGGGCACACAGCCAATGTGTACCAGAGATAAAACTGGCCTGCGTGTAATAAGTACTTGACAAACGATTATCGAGTCAAATTGAATAGAAGCAAATTCCTCCCCAGCTGCTTTCAGAGCAGCATGCTTCCCTCACTGTTCCCATGTCGACCAGAGTTGGGCTTATTACCCAGCCCCTTCTTCTCAAGCCCACTCATTCTTCAAGGTCTGGCCTAAATCCTGCCGCCTCTATAAAATCTTTCCTGACGGCTCCAGTCCACAATGATATCTCACTACACACTCACGAAGTGCAATAATTGTAGCTGACATTTATATAGCATCTGTAAAAGTGAGGAGTTTTGTCCAGATGATCTGTCTAAGAGTACTTCCATCTCTACCAAACATTCTGTCTCTCTTCGGGTTTGATTTCTTGACCATTCAGTGGAAATGTTGAACAGAATCTCCACCCGTGTGACCTCAGCTCACTGGCTGTACCAGATAACCCAGAAAGGCCCTTCCTATTCAGAAGCTTCTGATTAGTGCAGTCACACTTCAGAATAAGTGGGCTGCTCATTCTAAATCTGCCTCTGACTCCCTTCTACAAAATGAAATTAGGCCTAATAAGTCAAAGGGGGTTGACTTAAGTTGCCACTTTGTTCTGAGGTTCGTGAATGAGGAGGCAGGAGAGAGTAAAGGAAAGAATATTAGTTGAGAGTCAGAGTGTCTGGTTCAAAGCCCCAGCTTCACTATTTCAAAGCTCCCTGGTTGTGACTGATCATCTCTCATCTCTGGGCCTCAGCTGCTCCATCTGTAAAATGAATAGAATAATCCTAGCATCGTTCCCATCACTAGCTTGTTGTGAGTAAAATACACAAATATAAGCTAGTGTTACTTTGCACAATTAGTCTTCTGTAGCAAAGCAAATGTGTAATAATCATACCAGCATAAAATCAGACTTTTATCTGGAAAAAAAACCTAGAAAACTCAAATAACAAATAGGTCAGCTATTTATGGCCTTGACTGGAGTGAAAAGTTGGATAGTTCTGTAGACTGAGGACCTCTCTTAGTAATTATTGGACAGTTAGATGTTGCAGTAGATAGAATACCGGGCATTGAATCAGGAAGACTCAATTTCCTGAGTTAGAATTGGATCTCAGACACTTACTAGCTGTATGACCCAGGGCACATCACTTAACCCTGTTTGCCTCAGTTTCCTTATCTATAAAATAAGCTGGAGAAGGAAATAGCAAACTACTCCAATATTTCTGCCAGGAAAACCCCAAATGGGTCACAAAGAGTTGGACGTGGCTGAAATGACTGAACAGCAAAATTAATAATCTGGGGTCATGGAATGAGTATTGAATTTGGTGTTCAAATCTTATCTCTAACTCTTTTACGTGACCTTAGACAAGTCAGTCATATCACTTTCCTGGATCTCAGTTTCCTCATCTGTAAAATGAGGTCGTTGGATTTCCTGGTTTCTCAGGTCCCTTCCAGCTCCAGAGCTATGAATCTTAGTGTTTTGATGTTACCAATTCTTATCACAGAATCCTGGGTCTAAAGCTAGGAGGGGCCTTGAAGTTCCTCATCAATGAAGAACCTGAAAGTTCCACTAAAATGTCACCTCCTACAAGAAGCCTTCTCCAACCCCTCTTAATTCTAGTGCCATCTCTGTTTATTTCCTATTAATCCTGTATGGGCTGTTAGGTGGCAAAATGGATAGGGTGCTGGGCCCAGAGTCAGGAAGACTCATCTTCCTGAATTCAAATCTGACCTCAGACACTCACTAGCTGTGTGATCCTGTGCAAGTCACCTCACCCTCTTTGCCTCAGTTTCCTCATCTGTAAAAGGAGTTGAAGAAGGAAATGGCAAACCACTCCAGTGTCTTTGCCAAGAAAACCTCAAAATAGGGTCATGAGGAGTTGGACACGACTGAAAAAATGACCGAACAACAAATTTGTCCTGTACGTAGCTTGCTTTGTATATATCTGTTTGATTATTGTCTCCCCCGTTAGATTGTAAGCTCCTTGAGGTCAGGGACAGTCTTTTACCTCTTTTTGTATCCTTAATATTTAGCACAATGCCTGTCACAGTAGGTCCTTAATAAACATTTACTGAATTGCATTGAAAGATTAAGTGACTTGTCTAAGGCCACATAGGTAACAAAAGCTGTGATTCATGGGTTCAGAGATCTAGAACCAGAGTGAACCTTAAAGATCATCTAATCCAACTGATTCATTTTAACAGACAAAGAAACTAATTGAGAGGAGGTAAGTTGCTTAGTATCACATAACTGACAAAACCATGCTCCATAGCTAGGTGGTGCATGTCTGGGCTGACAGTCAGAAGGACCTGAGTTCAACTCTTAATTTGGACACTAGCTGTGTGACTTTGAGTGACAGTCACTTAACCCTTCAATCTCCATTTCAGACCCATTTGTATGCCAACACACTTAATGGGGTATTATGGCAATATGGCATTATGTACAGCCTCTGAGTCTAGAAGACCTGGGTTCAAGCCTTACCTCTGTCATACACCAACTGTGTAACTTTGGGCAATCCATCCAATTTTTCCATGACCCCAAGTAGCTTACTCAAATTGTGAGATACAGAGAAGTCACCTGCCTGCATCAGTAGAGGTAATTTCCTTACATGGGAGTTTCCTATGTCGATATTTCAGGCTTGCTCCCTTTTCTTATATATTTACATTTGTTCCCCCCTCAAACACACACACACACACACACACACACACACACACACACACACACACAATCTTAAATACCTCATGGGCAGGGATGATTTCATTTTTGCCTTTTCTACTTCTAGATCCTAGCACCATGCCTGCTATATAGTAGGCACTTAATAATTGCTTGTTAATTGATCAATGTCTTTCTCTGCCTATACTGTGCCAGGAGCCTGAAGGCCTCTAGCCCCTGCCTATTGCTAACCAAAACCTCATTTCTCTGAGTTAAAGTTCACTGCCAGTAAATTCATTTGGGAGATTCAGGACTCAGGTCACACAAGATGTCTGGTACTTGACGGAACGGGAGGCCCAGAGGCAGGCTCACATTTCTTGCCTCTAGTCCTGGGCCAGGCTCACGGCTCTAGAGACAGGGCAGCAAGGTTTTTCCTGTCGGAGGCTGTGTGTTTCTGGGTGCCAGGAAAACAAAGTACCATGGAGAAGCTATATCCAGGCAGCCCCCTGGGAGCCCTCTGTTGTAGCAGAGTTGTGAGTTGCTAGGTCAGGGATGACATTGTGGAAGCGGGAAGCCGGCTGCCGCTGGCATTGCTCATGCAGCTCCTAAATGAGCTGACTGGGCTGGAGAAGGTCGGGGAGGGGTTGGGGAGGGGGGAGAAGTCTATCTCTCCAGACTTTTCTACAGAGTCTGGCAGATCCGCTGCTAGAGCTGCCACAGCACAGACCTCATACAAGGTAGGTCCAGCTGCAAACATGGAATGGCTTGGTCAGAACAGATGGCTGAGCTGTGTGGGAGAGAGCGGGTCATCAAATAGCACTTATTGAAGGTAATCGACAGTGTTTCTTAATAACAACTTTAAAAAAAAAAAAGCCCTCTCCACCTGCCTCCAAGCAGCAGGAATGCCAAGCCCGTGTAACTAGGGAGGCATCCATTACACTGGAAACTTGTCTGATCCTTCTCACTTGCATTCCAGGTCCTAGAACTGTGGTCCCTCGTGAGAGCTGGCTGGTATATCCCAGCATGCACTTGGCCAATGATGTCAGTGACACCTTGGATCCCCAGTGGAGTCCAAACCTCATTTGGCTCATCGTGTACGTCACTTACACTCCTAGCTGAGTGACCTTGAGAAAGTAATCTCACCTCCCCAGATCTCAGTTCTTTTCTCTGTAGAGCAAAGGGGGTACGCTTTCTGGCCTTTGAGGTCTGTTCCAACTCTGTGTGTATAAGCCTATAATCCTAGGTCACTTAACTTTACCTTCTCTGTTAAAAAAAAAAAAGTTGGGGGAAGGGGTTAGACTCAATGGCTTCTGAGGCCCTAATCAATTCTAAATCTCTGGCTCTATGGTTCTGTTAGAACAAATGTGATGCCATCTGCTAAAATAATGAGCTTAGAAGTTAGCTCAAAGGCAGGGTCAGGGGTGTTTTTGTGGACCTCATTTTCCTCATTTATAAAATGAAAGGTTTGAACTAGATGCCCTCTGAAGTCCCTTCACGTTCTAGCCCTGTGATCTATCCTATGATATCTCAAGGTTTCTCCCAACACTAACATTCCATGTTCCAATGTGCCTTCCAGCTCTGGTATTCTATGTTGTGTCAGGATGTGTTGCTGCTGAGATTAGGGCTGAGAAATGGGCCAGACTGTTTGGTTCTCCTTTCACCCCCAAACAACTCTTTTTAGCCCAGTGATCTGTGGGTCACTGGTTATCAGCCAGATTGATGGAGAAAGTGTGGCTGGACCAGCCAATATCCATCACTTTTTGAAAAACAACTCGAGCGTGTCTCCTGCTTAGAGTGAGTCATTAGCATGATCAATCAATCCACACGTATGTATTGAGCACCTAAGTTCCTGGAGCGTAGATTTGGAACTGGAAGGGACTTAGAGGGCATGTAGGCCAATCCTCTCATTTTTCAGAGTTGCACAGCTAGGAAATGTCTGAGATGGGATTTGGATTTAGTCTTCCTGACTCCAGGCCCAGTGTTCTCTTTATCTCCACTATGCCATTGGTGGTGGGGTGGGAATTTGTTACTTACGAATTTTAAAATAATAATAATCACAAACATTTCAATATACCAATTAAAAAGGTGAGGGGCAGCTAGGTGCTGCAGTGGATAGAGCACCGGCTCTGAAGTCAGGAGGACTTGAGTTCAAATCTGCCATCAGATCAAACACTTGACACTTATTACTGTGGGCAAGTCACTTAACCCAAATTGCCTAAAAAAAAAAAAGATGACATATGAAGAGCCAAGGGAAAAAGGTATATGGTAGTGTCTCTGTGTCTATGTGTGTATACACAGAAAAGAGGATATGAAGAAGAATTGAGTTCAAATCTCAGTTCAGACACTTACTACCTGTATGGCCTTGGAAAACTTCTTGGGGCCATAGATTTCTCATCTATAAATGGATTCTAGGGACATATCCAATCATCCTGATCTGTATCTGGCCACTGGACCCAGATGGCTCCAGAGGAGAAAGTGAGGCTGGTGACCTTGCCCAGCCCTGCCTCACTTAAACCCAATTCACTTGCATGTCAGGGCATCACTGTCCTGATGTCATGGTCCTCTTTGAGAATGAAGGACAAATAACAACAACATAAATGGACCCATTGATTTGTAAGGTCCTTTTCAGCTTTCAGTCCATGGTTCCATGAGCTGTCTCTTTCTATACATAGGAGAATCAACTAGAAATGTGTAATGCCTACTTACTGTGGCCAGTTTTTCAATGTCAAGGTCACATGATCCGAGTGAGGCAAGTCCAATGTCCTGGAAAGGGCAAAAGAAATAAAAAGAGGCCATCTTATTTTTAAAGGGCCTCTTCATAAGGCCTTTCTGTTCGAAATTTCCAGTTGTCAGTTCAATTCTGAGAGTACTCCACTCCACATCCCCAAATTGTGACTGCTCTGGTCTGCTCTGGGCTGGGCTGGGCTGGTTAGTGTTGACTGGGACTGGGTGGGGGCAGGAACAGGGGAAGTCTGGCAATATAAAGAAAGGACTGCCTGGAAATACGTCATGCTCAATCAGTGTTATTCTGATTACCAAAATGAAGGCTGAGGGAATACGTATGACCCACATGCATGTTCAAAATTGAAATCACAATCATTTAACGGCACTCGTTAACCCATCTATAAAATAAAAGAGACTCAGTGAGTTCTAGAGTCCCTTCTAAGCTGTAATATTTTTCCCCTTTCATTTATGTTCCGAGGGCCATCCCAGTTTTGACACTGTCTATTCCAAAGTCCCTCCTAGGTCTGACATTCTGTGTTCTAAGGTCCCTCCCAGATCTGAAAATCCATGTCCTAAGGCTGCTCCCAGCTCTGACATTCTAAGGTCCCATCTTAGCTCTGAAATTCCTCGGTCTAAGGTTCCTTCCAGCTCTGACATTCTATGGTCTAAGGTCCCTCTCAGCTCCAACCCTTCATTTTATTTATTCTAACAAAGAGACCCTCATGGACCACTGTCCTCTCATCCTATGATTCTGCATTCAATTCTCTCAATGCTTGCTTTTGAAGTTAACACACATTTCTGACTGGTATTTAAGAACCAATGTAGGTTGGTAGAGGGGAGGGGGAGGAATATTATTACCTGTGAGAACTGGGCGAATTCTTTGTCTGCTAGCATTGGAATGTGACCCAACAGTTCATGGCAGCAATCTCTGGAATCATCAAATATGAGATGATATATACGATTTAAATACACAAAAAGATGACTGTATAATCCGGTCTTAGGTACATTCTCTACAATGCAACATACAATGTAATTAGCCTGTATTTCAAGGCCCGAGTGAATCTGTGATCTCATCCTTGTGTGTGTATGTATGTGAGTGTGTATGTTTGTACATTTCCATTGAGACAGACCCCTTTCTGGCCAAGCCTCTTTATTCTATGCAATCTTGGTAAATGTCTTTTCCTAAATGCTACAGGGCAGAGGTACCCAACATGCAGGAAGCCATCCTCTGAGCCTTGAAAAATTCTGTGGGCACCAATATCAGCTCTCCATTGTTATCTCTTGTTCTTATGATGTGACTGGCCCACTTTTATTTATTATCATTTATTTCTTGTGTGATATCCCTTATGACATGTGATGTAAAGGATATCACTGGGTAACCAACACAATTCTAAATTATATATAGTTATTTGTGCTGTTTTATACACGCATAGACACACACCCAACCAAGGCTAGAGACCATGCCCTTCTCCATCTTTGTTTTCTTTGTATGTCTAATAAAGTACGTTGGACAGCGAAGGTGCTAAATGGAGAATCAGGATGGTATAGAGAATAAACACCCAGCTCTGGAGTCAGGAAGACCTGGGTCCAAGTTCTGCTTCTGTCATATATAGGAGTTGTAAAACTGAGTGAGACTTAACCTCTTATTGGCCCAGGCAACCTTTTAAGACATTCAGTTGTAGAATAATTGGGTAGAGTTGTATTGGATAGAGGAAGAAGCCACAATAGGAGTTCCCCAAGCTAAAGAATTCCAGGTCAGAACCAGATGTAATTATTATACATAACACAAACATGCATTCATACACATTATACATCTATCTATACATGTATCTACCAGCTGGCCAACCATCTATCTATATAAATGTATACAATTAAACAATGAATGAAATGTATTTGTTCTTTCAATTTTATTCATTCAATTATACTGTGGTTCTAAAAAAGGTAGCTACTATAAAAAGTCCATTTAAATTTAGATGGTCTTTGAAAGAAAATCTCCAATAACCCAAATTATAGTTAGTTTTAGATTTTTTAAAGTCTGGCTAGAATTTGCTCTTATCGTTCTTTCCCCACAAACGGATTACTGCTCTTGGAAATGTGCATTCCCACCCCCCTTCTCCTCACATTTCTATTGTTTGCTTAATTTTAAACAGTACCCTTACCCTCTACCACTGAGTGAAACATACAGTTTACTTCTTAAGCCAGAGTTTCAAAAAAATGTTGTCAGAGTTTTGCAACATCCCTTGGGCTAACCAGAGACTCCCTGGGGTTCCACGGAACCAGGACTGGGAATCAGAGCTCTAGTCAGAGGTCTAGAATGCTCAATGATCAACAAAGCAACTCATGTCCAAGGACAGAAGGGTGACTCCTCTCTGAACCACAGTGTACAGTGTCTGTACACATGTGGCCATAGAGTATAGGTTGTGGTCTGCTTCCCTGCCAGAGGGCCTCTGGAAGAATGCAGAGAAGAGGAAATGAGTCCTTGGTGCCTCCAATCTGACTCCCTTCGGAGATCTTCCTCCTGACCGTGTGGGAGCATCTGTCTTCTAAGGTCCCAGTATACTCCCAGTTCGTAAAACCTGCTCTTAGGAAAGGAACTGAAATGATTGCAAATTTAAATTGTTATTAATTTTTTACTCTCTAGAGGGAAATTTCCATTTTAAATTTCATCTCTAATTGGAAAATGAAAAAAGCATTGTCCTTACTGGGAAGAGTTTCAAGCATTTCAAGCACCAGAGAATTTATAGGCTAGTATAGAGTAGGAGAGAGGGGTGCTATATGGGATGGTGGTAGAGGACCATCCTTGAGCCCTTGAAGTAAAACTGTGTTGGTGGTTACCTAGTCTGCTTACTTGTAAAAACACCATTTGGTCCCCCATTTTACACACAGATGCCATAGTGATTTCCCTAAAGGGTGGGTCTGATCATATCAAACACACACACCTCCCTCAGTAAATTCCAATGCCTCCCCTCTAACATCAAATAAAAACTCTTGTGTTTGGCATTAATGCCCATGACAACCTTCCTACCTTTCCAGTCTTCTTAGATGTTTCTCCCCTCCACATAGACCAGCCATACATTAGACCACATCTGCCACCTCCATGACTTTGTACTGGCTGTTTCCCATGTCCATTATGCTCTCCCTACTCACTGCTACCTCTTGGAATTCTTGGGTGTTCTCTCCTGGTTCTCCCAGCTGTTAGTGCCTTCACCTGTAAAGTTCCCTTGTCTATATCTTGTACAAAGAGGTTCTATATGGGCAGATGTTGTAGCGCTCCATTAGAATGCAAACACTTTGAGGGTAACCCTTATTTTGCTTCTGTTTTTATGTCACTTGGCATATGGTAGATGCTTAATAAATACTTGTTAATTGGTTGAAGGAATGCCAATCTCTGCACCCTGAGTAAGGGAGGAAAGGAGGGGGGGATATATTCAGAAACAGATGAAATGTAAAAAAACCAAAGGCATCAATTAAAAAAAAATACCAGCTTCCTAGGAGAGATTCCATAAACAATGTCTACAGGGCTCGATTCACAGGGAAAACAAGACAACAAAAGCCATTGCATCAGGCAGACCACAAAGCACCACAGGGAGACGATGACCAGTGAGGATCTTACGGTTCCGGAGAATGCGTGGGGGAGGAGGAATGTCTGATGTACTGGGTACTCTGGAATACGCGGAAGGCCAGGCTGGCAAGGAAATCACGAGCAGACAAGAGTCCTGCAGCCGGTCTCAGTTGAAAACCAGTTCTCTCTGAGTGCCAGGAAGAGGAAGAAAGATTTCTGAGAGGCTACCCGTCAATTAGCGCAGTTAGGTGGTGCCATAGTGCATAGAAAACGGCTTGGAAGAAGGAAAACTCATCTTCCTAAGTTCAAATCTAGCCTCAGACATTTACTAGGTAGGTGACCCCGGGCAAGTCATTTAACTCTATTTGCCTCAGTTTCCTAATTAGTAAAATAAGCTGGAGAAGGAAATGATAAACCATTCTAGTATCTCTGCCAAAAGAACTCTAGATTGGAGTCATGAAGAGTCAAATATGACTGAAAAATGACTTAACAACAACAAACCAGTCAATTGCAGGGCCCTGAGCCATTCTTTTGGAAATTCTTTGATAACTTGGCACAGAACCAGCTTTGCAACCTGAAAATAGTGATTATGCTGGATGTCAAAGTACATAGAGGGCTGGGCTTAGAATCAGGAAGACCCGAGTTTGAATCCCACCTCTGTGACTCTGGGAAAATCATTTAATATCTCTTGGCCTCAGTTTCCTCATTTGTAACATGCAAACAATAACAGCACCTACTTCACAGGCCTGTTATGAGATTCAAATGAGATAATATTTATAAAGTGCTTTATAAAACTTAAAGTGCTATGTAAATGCTAGTTATTATTACACAACCAAAGCAAGGTAAGAAGCCAGATCTAATCAGGATAAATGTAAAGTTCTATGCTGGGGTTCAAAAAATCAGCCACTCAAACACAAGATAGGATAGGTGTGGTTAGACATCAACAATCCATGTAAAAAGGCTTTGGATGGGTATAGTTTTTTCTCCAATAGGCAGTGAGGATTAATTTTAAAAGAGTATCATTTGTAACATCCTCCTTTCCCTCCAGACAGCTGGTGGTTAAATAAATAAACATTTACCACCACACCCCTGTGTGTATGAACATAGCACATTCTATACCTTGGGGTATCATCATCTTTGTATTTCCACACCTCGAGGAGCAAAGAAAATGGCTGTCATTTTTGTTTAGTCATGAAACTTTCCATAATGTTGAAAAGGCCTATTATTGTTGCCAGGAAGAATAAATATATAACTGGATGTTCATTTGAAAAGAACAGGAGGATGGAACTGGGAAAGCCAGGGAGAGGCATGGTGGTGATGAGCTCAACAGGAGGGCAGGGAATGATGGGAAGACAGGCATGAGTGGAATGATGGCTGCTGGACAAGACTGAAAAAAAAGGACTTAACTGGCCCTACCACATTGTCAGTGTGTACATAAGCTCTCTCTTGCTCTCTCTCTCTCTCTCTCTCTCTCTCTCTCTCTCTCTCTCTCTCTCTCTCTCTCTCTCTCTCTCTCTCTCTCTGTCTCTCAGCCTAAGACAACCTTCACAAAGAGAACTAAATAAAATAGACTTTTTTTAACCTAAAAAACTTTGTTGGTAATGAGTTCCAGGTGGGTTGCAGAGCAAATTCCCAAATCGAAATAGTTTCCCTAGAAAGAAACAATTGGGTCTACTTGTACTTCTGTTAACCCTGAAAGAGAAACTCAGAAGAACCTCCCTGGGCATGTCCCGTGGACTGAACGGGTGCATATTCTGTGTTGGGCAGTCCCCAGAAGTCATGTCTTCCTTATTTCGTAGTCATTTCCAGGGGCCATTCCAAATGTTGAGCTGGGTTTTAAATTTATTTTTTGACCTAATTATCTCAGAGATCACTAATCTCTCTATACATGTTGAGGGTAGTGGAGGCCCACTGGGAGGATCTTGCCCATGACTTTTTCGTCTGATATTTCATAATATCCATTTAATGAGAGAGTAATTAGTTGGCTCATGAACCAGTGTTATGGTTCTGTGCTTTCCATATGTAATGGCAAAATTCAAGCATCACAGTGGAGTTTATTTTAGGAAATTGTGCTAAGAGATTCATGACTCTGCCTGGAGAAATGATGGGGGGCTTGATGAAAACTCCCCACATTGCCTCTTCAGGCAATTTGTTTGTTTGATAACAGTTGAATTTTCTGGCCCGAGGACTGAAATTATCAAAAATATGGTGGGGAAAAAATAAAATTAAACCTCCATTTTAATCTAATCTTTCTTCCAGATAATCATCTATGGTATAATTGAAAACATACTGGATTTGCTCATAAGACCTGAGTTTAAAGGATGTTAGTTTCGTTGAAGTACTTTAATTTTTTTGTCTTTCTTTTGCTGTTTGTTGTTATAGGGGATGACTATAGGGAAGGGAGTGGGTGTTAGATATGAAGGTGATATGAAAATAAAAAGTAGCAATTTAAAACAAAAAGATATAGGTTCAAATTCCAATTCTGTGGTCTTCTTGAGGACTATATTGAGGAAGACCTGTGTTTGAATCCTGCCCTTTTTGTGTACTGTGTGAATGGGGATAAGCTCATTTAACTGTTCTAAGCTTCGGTTTCCTCATTTGCAAAAAAAGGGGAGGAGGGGAGGATAATAATATCTGCAGCTCCAACCTCACAAGCTTACTCTGAGACTCAAATGAGATAATGCATGTAAAACCACTTTGTAAACTTTAAAGCACAATGCAAATGCTGCTGATTGTCGTCATTATTTGTATGAACTTATCATAGTCTTAATTTCCTCACCTGTAAAATGAAGGGGTAGACTCTGAGGTCCTTTCTAGTTCTAACTCTGGGAAAGGAAGGAAGGAGAGAGGGAGGGAAGGAGGGAGGGAGGGAAGGAAGGAGGGAAGGAAGGAAGGAAGGAAGGAAGGAGGGAAGGAAGGAAGGAAGGAAGGAAGGAAGGAAGGAAGGAAGGAAGGAAGGAAGGAAGGAAGGAAGGAAGGAAGGAAGGAAGGAGGGAAGGAAGGAAGGAAAGAGAGAGGAAAGGAAAAGAGAAAGAGAAAAAGAGAAAGAAAGGAAGGGAGGAAGGAAAGCAGGGATGAAGGAAGAAAAGAGAAGAAAAGGGGAGAGAGAAAAGGGAAAGAAGGAAGAAAAGAGAGGAGGAGAGAGGAAAGGAAAGAAAAGGGAAGAAAGAAAGGGAGGGAGGAAGAAAAAGAAAAGGAAGGAAGAAAAAGGAAGGAAAGCAGGGAAGGAGGGAAGAAGAAAAGGGAAGGAAGATGGGAAGAAAGGAAAGAAGGCAGGGAGGGACAGAAGAAGAAAAGAAAGAAGGAAAGAAAGGAAGGAAGGAAAGAAGGAAGAAAAGGGAAGAAAGAAAGGAAGGGAAGAAGAAAATGGAGGGAAGGAAGGAAGAAGAGGGAAGGAAAGAAGAACAAAAAAGCAAGCAAAAAGAGAACTTAACTCCAGTATACCTATGGAGCCATTGTGGACAAAGACATTACTAAACGCTATTAACTCAGGAAAATTGACCTGGCTCCTGAACAGGGGGAGGGGAGGACAGGCAGGCAAGTGGGACATCCTCTAGATAATTTGGCAATGACTCAGAGAGGCAGCCAGCAGAGAACACAGGAAATCCACCCTTTGGGACTAGAAAAATAACTCCTCAGAGGGTTTCCATCCGTGGATCACCATCCCTAAAACCATTAAGCTTACTTGGGTACCTATTGTTTAAAGTGCCTTAGGGATAAGCACTACACTTTGTTCGTGGTGGCATGCCTCTCAGCAGTGAGTACCCAAATCTGCACATTGAAAACACTCAGAAGATGTTTGCTGAATGAATAAGCCTGTGTCAGAGAATATCAAAAGCCAGGGAGTCCAACCCAGAAATCCCCAACAAATGGCCCCTAAGCCTTTCATTGAGGACCTCCAGGGACCAAGAACCTTTTACCCCCCAAAGCATTTCATTTCATGTCTGGATGTCTCCAGTTATTAGGAAGTCTTTTTTTTTAACATCAAACAAAAAAACCAACAAAAAACCAGTCTTTCTGTAGCCTCCAACCATTGCTCCTAGGTCTGACCTCTGGAGCTAGAGAACAAGGCATTAATCTCTCTTCCAAAAGATAACCTTGCCATACCTAAAGAATACTATCATGAATTAGATCAGTAGTCTTCAAACACCTACATGAGTAATTTTTTATTTTTATGGTGGTGATATTCTAGGTGGGGTGTGTGTGAATGTGGGGGGCAGGGCACGTGCTCACATGCACGTGCACATGCCTTCACACAGATGGGGATGAACAGAGAGGAAAACAAGACTGTGGTGGTGGGTTTTCCCTCTGGCACATGAGTAGCTGCACCTAACGGTGCCTAGATCAGAGTTCTGTTATAACTGCCCCAAGAAGCCAAAAACTGGCTCGGATGAGGCAAAGTGAGATGAGATGGCCTCTAAGTTCCTGTCTAGCTCTCTATATGGGATCCTAGTCTTCCTTTCTCCAGGCTAAACATTACCACGTTCTTCAACAGCTCTTCACCTAACATGGTCTCCAGTCCCCTCAATACCCTAGCCATGCTTTCTGGATTCCTTCCACTTTGGCAATATCCTTCCCAAAATGTTCTTCCTGAAATCTGGTCATCAGAATGTAACAACAAATCCTCCGGGTGTAGAGGCACACCCTGCTAAGAAAAGATATCGCACCTTTATTTGTGATGTCTGTTGTTTTAAATCTGAGAAAGGCAGACACCAGCTGAACCCCTCCCCATCTTTGTTTCTAAGGAGGATTTTTGCTTCATTCCAAACAAGATTCACCCCAGGACAAGAGGTTATGTCCCCTCTAGCCTTTATGTGAGCTCAGCTCGAGTTTGTTACTTTGGCAGGTGGATGACTGGCTATGTATTGGAGTCAGTTCAGAATTTGCTTTCAACCTAATTTCTTTTCACTCTTTTGAAATCAGCCATGGGTTATTTATTTTTCATTTTGCCAAACTTAGCAACAGCCTCAGGCTCCATCTGGCACCTTTCACTTAAGCTTCTGCAGGACTAGAAGGGAGTTTCCTCTCTAGTACTTTCTCCTTTAGAAAGCTACATTAGATTATAAGCAGTTGGACAGATGGGAAAGTGAGGCCCCACCTTGTAACTGGATGGGGTCCAAGGATTATCTCAAAGTCTCATCCTATTCACCTTGCAGCCCCCAGAGTCAGCCCTATTTGCCCACTGGCACAGTCCATTTTATTGACACCAAATTAGTGTCACTGTGATTTTTGGAGTTTCTACTTCCATGTTGGCATCTCAGGTGGACCATTCTGGCTGCCATGTTCTTTATAATGAATGCCCAATTCATGCGGTGTCAAGACATCACCTTGTTGATATCATTGCTCCTCTTTGAAAATGAAGGACAAATAACAACAATGAAAGCATTTCTAAACCAGACATCCCCTTGGGGCCACCATAGCCTCTCTTCTGGAAATTAAACTCCTACATGTTTGATAGGTCCATATTTGCCACCTTCATTCTTTGTCCTTCTATCTCTGGCACATAGCACAGTGCCTAGGACACAGGAGGCTCGTCATTTGTGCTGGTTGATTAATTGATCCATCAGGAAAAACTTAAGTAAATCTATCAGGTACTATTTACAGTCAAAGCAAAGAAGTGGCTGTTATTCTGGTTAAATGTCCCTAATTAACTGGAATCATATTTGTCTGAGTTTCTTTAACTGGTTCTTTGATTTCACCTGTATAGGAAAGTCCCTCTATCAATTAACATCAGCAACTGCTCTACAACTTAGACACTTGTGTAGGGCACATAGCCTAGGTAAGCAATTTGCCCAGAGTACCATAGCCAATGTGTGCAAGAACTGAGATATGAACTCAGGTCTTCCTGATTCCAAGGCTAGTTCTCTATCCACTGAGAGGTGTTGAACATGAGGCTAGAAACACTTCCAGCTGTGGCTGAAACCAGATTAAGATGTAATTGGGAAATATGTAAGAAAATAAAATATAATATAGCATAGATAATGCTAATGTGTGGTTTTCTAAGTCAATATGTGCTGTGGTGATTCTTATGTATGGCTCAGTGGTTGCATTTCTATTGGAATATGGCATCACTGCCCTATACCATGTTTGCCTCTCAATCATTCTCTTGCTTTGGACTTCTAAGAAAATGAGGCTGGGGAAGTTAGGTGGCACAGTGGATACAGCACCAGCCCTGAAGTCAGGAGTACCTGAGTTCAAATCTGGCCTCAGACCAAGCACTTGACATTTACTAGCTGTGTGACCCCGGGCAAGTCACTTAACCCCAAATGCCTAAAAATTTAAAAAAAAAATGAGGCCAATGGCCATAAAATAAACTCTAGGGATTTAGTGGACAAACACCAAAATAAAAAAAAAATAAACAAATGAATGAATGAAATAAAAACTATCACCTTCTCCGTTGTAATCTGGAGTCAGTACATATCGGATTCTATTTGCTACATTTTTCCCATCTACAGCTATAGCTTAGGAAAGATGATTTACTGAGTAACAAGGCATTGAAAGGCCCTCATTCCTTAAACGAAGATTCTGTTGTGTTCCCTAAACCAGAAAATTGGATTAATCCATTTTGGAAAGATTTTCAGGAATAAGGATTATAGAACACTCAGTTAACCAGGCTGTTGAATTTAGCAGAATATTTTCTTCTTCAATCTTGCTGATAATTGAAGTTTGCTGGGAAGGCAACATGGGGGAGTGGAAAGAGCACTGAGTTTGGCATCGGAGGACCTAGGCTTAAACTCTGGTTCTGCTACTTGCTATCTTTATGACTTTGGGCAAGTCACTTCATCTATCTGGGCCTCAGTTTACTCATCTGTAAAATGAAGGAGATGGAAGATGGTCTCTGAGGTCCCTTCCAGCTTTAGACCTAAGGTCTTATGGATTGTATATATAACTGGAATCCTAGCACTACCCCACTATGATATATGTGTGTGTCTGTGTGTGTATACATACATACATATATATACACATACATACATATACACACAGATGATACATTTATATAATTATATTTATATGTATAATCATATATAATATGCACACACTACATATATCCATCTACCTATCCTCAGACTTCTCCCTCAGACACTTTCCTTTCCTACATTTTTTTCACCTATTATATCATCTTCTCCCCCTCTCCATCCCATCCTGTTCCTCATACTCATCAGACCCTCCTTTTGATACTCAGCCTATTTCTTTCGTGTTAACTCTTTTCTATTATTTTCCCACCACTTCTCTGTCCTCTAGACCCCTATTCAGGAATTCCCTTCCCATAGCTCAGATCTATTAAGCTGACTCATCCCTGCTTCCTCAATAGTTTTGGGCACAGGAACCCCTACAGGCTATTGACATGATGGGGAGGGGAGCTCACTGACTCAGCCCTACATCCCCTAGTCCTCTGTGATCAACAGTAATTTACCCCACCAGTTTGGAAATGACTAGTTTGGATTCATTTTAGGTGGAATAATTGACTGCCTAAGCAATATGATTTGAGGGAAAACAAAGCCCAAATGCACTCTGTAAGTTGTCATCTTTTCCTGAAAACTATTTGTCCTTCTGTTAGTGGTTCATCAAGTCTACAGATCATCAATTTCAGTAATGTCTGAATATTGGATAACAAGGGAGAAGGTGGGTTTCATTCCATTTTACAAATGAGAAACTGTTGAAATTCTTAATGATGGAAGGAGCCATACACAAGGGAAAGAAGACAGAAGGAGGAGGGAGAGGGAATGAAAAAGACAAAGAAGATGAAAGGGAGAAGGAATAAAGGAAAAAGAAGAAGACAAAAAGATCTTCTAGAGGTGCACTTTTCTCTAGGGGATATTGAACTGAGGTCACTGTTGCTCCCTCTTTGCCCTAACTCCCCACCTCAGAAATATATAAAATTGTGCAAATTACCCCCAAACCTACTGCACCAATGTTCCCCTGTCTCCCTGGGGTTCTTCAACCTTGCTTTCACATCAGAAGGACCAACTGCCTTGAACTGGAATGTTATCTCCCAGAGGCAAGAGGCTTCAGAAATATGATGGAGTCTCAAGGCATGTAGGAAAGGATGACTTGCCTTTTAAAAATCTGGATACATCCTGGAGTTGAGGTATATGGTCTTCCGCATAGCCACAATATTCTTCCAATTGCTGAAAAGCATCCAGGTACTCTTTGCAGGCATAGGTAGGGTAAAGACTGCGGAGTTTCCTGTAGATTACTTTCCTGAAAAGAACATTTCTTTCTTATAACTGGACCCTTTCTGGAGTTTTATCTAATAATAATGAGTTCAAATCTGTCCTCAGATAGTTACTAGCTTGTGGCCCTGGGCAAATCACTTAACCTTGTTTACCTCAGTTTCCTCATCTGTAAAATGGAGAAGGAAATGGTAAACCACTCTAGTATCTGTGCCAAGAAAACCCCAAACAGGGTCATGAAGAGTCAGGCCCCATTGAACAACAACAACAGCGATGATGATGACGATGATGATGATGATGATGATGATGATGGTGATGAATATGTAGACAATGCTTTCCATATACTGTCACATTTAATGGGCACAGTACCCATGAGTTAGGTACCATAAGCATGATTTTTATCCTGAGGAAACTGAGGCTAAGAAAGTCAGAAAAGCTTGTCTAAGACCATAGGTGGGATTTGAATACAGGTCCCCTGACACCAACGCTGTCAGTCTTTCTCCACTACATCACTGAAAGATGGATGGTATCGAAAGAAATCATAAAATCAAGTATGATTCCTATAGCTGATTGCCCATGGATCTGAGGCTAAAAAATTAGTATCTTCATACATAAAATATCTACCTCTCATGGTTACGTTGAGAGTTCAGATGGAAGTATGGAGGCAAAGCCCTCTATAAACTTTGCGAAAGTGCTATGGAAATGTTGCCTGTAATTTTGAGTGTGACGTTGGGGGCTGAGCCAACAACCTTCTCTGTAAAGAGGCTAGATTAGACGACCTGCAGCAGCCAGGGAAAATGAATGTAGAGATGGTTTCCCTTTTGGCTTTGTATGCTCAGCATTTGGCACATAGTAGAAATGTAGAGATTTAGAGATGGAAGAGACATTCAAAGTGATCTCTTCCAAAACTATCATTTTAGGATTGGGGAAATTGAGGCCCAGAGAAGATGAAGTGACTTGGCCATGGTCACACATGGTGAATACATGTGGGTACTAGAGCATAGGGCGGGATTGAATCTCAGCTTGGCCATTTTACTACCCACACGACCTTGGGAAAGTAATCAAACTTCTCTGGGCCTCAGTTTCCTTCTCTGTAAAATAAAGAGGTTGGCCTTGAAAGACTCTAAAATCCCTTCCAGTTCTAGACCAATGATCTCATTATCTGTAAGATGATGGTGCAAGACTAAATGAGCTCAAGGCCCTTTCCATTGGTGAGTCTATTCTCTTTTGTGGGTTAATTTTTATTTAGGGCATGCTGTGGGCAACAAGGGAGGTCATGGGCACCCTGGGAGAGAAGGGTGTGGAAGGAAGAGGCATGGAATAGAAAGAAGATAAAGCAAAAGAGGGGAAAAACTTCTTTGGGTTTCACAGTTTTGCCTCACGTTGCCCCTGCCCGCAGCCAGCAGTCCGTGCCCACCCAGAATGACTCCTTAAGACATCCCCCCCAGCTGAAGGAACCCAGGATTCCTTTCTGCTCTAGGGCATCTGGCTGAAGACTCTGGAGCGAGCTCCCAGCTGCATTTGGAAGGCTCCCATTGCACACACCGTGTTTCTCTAATTCAAAGGAAACAGGCAATAATGAAATGGCAGGAAGCCTTGTAAAAATGGCTATCCCTCTTCATGCATGGCTCTGGGGTTCTAACTAATTTATAAACATTGTTTTATGAAAAATTGAGATCACTCTTGGAAATGGCTGGAGAAAATGACCTTCTGCTTGTTTTGCTAGTGTATTTTTCCCCCTTCTACAGCTATTGTTGCTAAGGAGGAGATGGCCAGTGTTGGGGAATGACTATCTTTCCATCCTACGTATTTCTTTTGTTACCCCCCCACCCCCTCAAAAAAGAAAGAAACTGAGTCAGCCAATGGCTACGGTTAACAGATCAATCCATGTGTGGAGGAGGCTGGCTCTCACCCATGGTGCAATTAGGAAAATCACAGAAGGACAAATTCCATTGACCCTTCCAGTCTCTTTTCAGCCTGATCTTTGGGCAAATGTTCCAGCCATGTTTTTCCATGGCCCTTCCTTTTGGTTTTTATGGTGAACTCAAAGGCAAGGTTTCATTAACAGTGGACTTAGTACCCCAGGGGAAAGTCCTGTTATCAAAGAGACTTGGGCCTGGATCTCTTACCTCCAGTAGCAATGACCAAGTTAGGGACAACACCTTTTGGCTAAGCTGAAGGATACAAATTCCTGCTCCCAGTACCTGGGCAGACATGTACAGGAAAGGAAGAAGCAACAGGAAGTAAGGCTGTACTTGAGAGCTCTTAGGTCATGATTGTCAAGTTGGGTTTGGACCATTTCTAGTAAAAAGGACAAAGGAATGAGTAGGGGAAAGCTGTCCAGAAACAGCATTGCATCTGGCATCAGAAGACTTAGGGCGAAATCTTGGTCACACTACTCTTAACCTGTATAACCCTGGGACACTTACTTCACTGAAACCTCAGTTTCTTATCTGTATAATTAGATGGGTTGGTGAGATGACCTTTCAGCTTCCTCCCAGCTTTAAATCATATGAAAGATATGTTTTCATTGCTTTGAACCAACTAGTATGTAAGAGTTAGGATCACTTCAGTGGTCTTTGGGACAGATGAAAACCAGCTAGTCTGTGTACCATGTAACAGATATCCTGAGAGACAACATGGCATAGAGGATCAAGAGAGTCAAGAAAACCTGGGTTCAGATCTTGTGTCTGAACCCATATTAGTTGTGTAAATCTGGTGAATCACTAAATTCCTCAGGGGGGAAAACAATTTAACTTATAGGCAAATTGCCAATCTGCATCTTGGAAGATTTTTTCACACTGGGAGTGCCCCACACTGATAGGTGGCAACAGCGTTCCAGGCACTGCAGTGGTAGCATAGAGTTCTGTGCTTGGAATCAGAATGACCTAAGTCCAAATCTTGTCTCCAACATTTACTAGCTGTGTGTTCCCGAAGTAATTTATCCTTTTGTGCCTGATTTTTGTACCTGTAAAATGAGGGCATTGGCTTCTATGTTCCCTTTTGCCTCTAAATTTTTTATCCTATTAAATCACAAATGGAGATAGACTTACACATTAAATAACAAAGTATTGTTTCTCCAATGTATTATTTTGTCTATAACAAATGGGATTCTGATTGGTCTAAGTACCGGATGTTGAGCTGATGATATAATGGAAGGAGATCTAGATCTTGAGTCAGAAGGCTTAGGTTCAAATATTATCTCGGCAGCTTCTGGCTGGTTGGACCTTAGGCAAGTTGTTAAGTCTTTATGGGGCTGTCTCCTTATTGGTAAAGGGAGGTAGCTGGACTTGAAGATTTCGGGGGTCCATTTCAGCTCTAAATCAATGTTTCTAGTTCATCAAACCATCAAGGTTTGGAGTTGGAAAGGACTTAAGAAATGACCTAGTTCAACTCTCTTCATTTGACATTTGGGGAAACTGAGACCAAGTGAGAGGAAGTGATGAGGCAAGTGGACTAAAATTGAGATCTGACTTTGGAATCTAAGACTTTTCTTCTATGCCATGTTGCCTCCAACATATAAAGTGTTACTCAAGCCCCAGCACCAGGGTCCCTTTTTCCTATGGGGTGTGGTGTGCCCCCCTCCACCACTGATGCTTAATGTTATTTACTTGTTGATTCATTAGGGATGGACTCAAATAGTCCCAGCCTTGGGGTTGTTTTGGAAGCCAATTGTTCTGTTCTTCATTCCTTTTTTTTTCATTCCTTTTTATGGGCATGTTGCAATGCAAGACACAAGAGTCCAAGGTCTTTCCATAAAGGCCCAAGGAGGGAATTTACACTATGTTACAAAGTTCCCCAGCCCCACCCCCGAGCTTTGCTGAGGCCATCTCAGGCCCTCATGTAATGTCCATGACCCTCTACCACAGCCAGAGGATACTTTGGTCATAAATCTGAGAGCTAATTTGGGGAAACAATTGATGTAATTGGTCCCTAGGGCTGCTGGGCTGGGCTGTGTGGAGAAGACAGACAGCTGCCTCTCCAAAAAGCCTTTCCAGAGGCCATATGGGGACTAGTTCTGAATGGACAAGAGCTCATTGGAGAAGAGAGGCAGGAGAGAGCCACAGCGAATTATCGTTGCAAGTAACCCCTCCAGTCATTTGGCGCCAAGGGGCATTACATTCCTAATTGCTCCTGTGGTTTCGAAAAGCCTGAGATCAATTGTCCCAAACACCCCCTGTTTTAATAATGACTCACATTTCTGTGGCACTTTGTGGCTTATGAAACATTTTCCTCATAACCCTAGCCCTTTGAAATAGATAATGAAAATACTAGAATAGAGGATAGCAATGGAGAGGCAGTATGGCATGATGGCTAGAGATCAGGCCTGTGAGTCAGGAAGACCTGAGTTTAAGCCCTGTGTCTGACTCATACTGGATTATGACTATATGCAAGTCACCTCACCTCTGAATACTGCAGGTATATCTTTAAGGCACCGGTTCTCAACATTTTTTGGTCCATGGACCCCTTTCAATGATGACAAAAAAATGTTGTAAACCCCCTGGGTAATTTAGTATGCTACTCGTGATATTTTGCAATTATTTATGGCTTAAGGTACAGTTAGAGCATTTTTGGCCTGCACCCCTTGGACCATAATCAGGCATCCTCAAGGGGTTTGCAAACTCAAAGACACCATTGCTCTAAGGATACAATTTGCAGAGCGAGTACCAGTCAGTATCATTGAAACCACAGGTCTAGTCTCAAAAATTGAGTTATTAGCATATCTTTTTTTTTGATGGAAAAATAGGTACAGAAATGCTATCAGTTGGTAATCAGTAAGCATCTATTAAGCCCCTACTATGTACCAGGCACTACATTAAGTGCTGGAGATACAAAGAAGGGCAAAAGACAATCCCTGCCCTCAAGGAGCTTACAATCTAAGCGAGTTATGTGTGGTCACAAAACTGTCAAGCAGCAGATCTGGGGTTTGAACTGGAGCCCCCTGATTTACAATCCAGTGTTGTTTCCAGTAGACTATGATTAGAGCTTGAGACTTGGTCAGTTAAGGGGCTTCTTAGACATGGGTTCCAAATTTCTGAGTCCAGTTCCCCCACCCTCCCACCCACCCAGTGTGGGACCTGTCTCTGACTTTGAACATCCACACAATCATAGTTCTTTCCAAAGTACTTTGGAATCCTGAGATCAATATGGAAATGGATTATAGTTTCACAGATTTAGAACTGGTAGGGACCTGAGAAGCCATCTAGTGCAAGCCCTCTTAATTTACACATGAGGGAATTGAGACCCAGAAAGTGATTAGCCCAAGGTCACACAGATATTAAATGACTGAAGTGGGATTTGAATCCAGAGACCACTTCTCTATTCACTAAGCTATGCCACCTCTCCATTACTATTTTCTTTCTCTACAATTTCCATTACCTATTTCAGAGGATTTTTGTGAGGAAAATGTTTTGCAAGCCATAAAACTTTATAAAATATGAGTCATTATTAAGAACATGGGATGTTTGAAACAATGTTATAGGTGACAGGGCAATGGATTTTGAATCAGGAAAACCCAACTTCAGTTTCTATTTCACACCAGTTGGGTCCCTCAGTTACTAAATTTCTCTGTACCTCAGTTTCCTCATCTGTAAAATGAGGGGACTGAACTCAATTGCTTCTCAGGTTCCTCATAGCTTTAAATATGTGATACAATAACTCCAAATTCAGATCTCTTTTCTATATACTCAGAAACTTCTTAAAAGGAGGGGAAAATCCACTTGAATCGGCCATATCCACATGATACCAAAGCAATCAGCTTCAATGCATTGCAAATACAATCAGCCTAATTGCTTGACTGAACTAAGAGGTAATTCATGAATAGGTTAAGAACCCTGACAAAGAAGATAGTGCCTGAGCTGTGTTTTGAAGAAAGCATGATATTCGAGAAGGCAGAGGGGAAGAAAGAATGCATTCCAGGCATGAAGGATGGCCAATGCAAAGACACAAAAATAAGAATTCTCATTTCCTATTGGTTGGCATAGAAGGATAAGGTGACTTTTCACAGGACCAGAGATTCATAAGAATTTTGTAATCATCTGGCTTACCCCTTCCTCCTTTTACAGGGGAAGAAAGGAAAGCCCAGAGAGGAGAGGGGCTTTGTTTAAGGACCTAGCAACAGTTCAAATGCCTATTGTTTTATTGATGTGGGAACTCCCTTACGCAAACGACAACTTTTCTATAATTTATAGTCTTAGGGGGCTGCTTGAGATGGATAGAGGTCAAGTGACTTGTCCAGGATCACACAGCTATAATATAGCCAATGATAGCTTTAATAATAGCTATTATTTATATGGTGTTTTAAGATTTACAAAGTCCTTTAAATATATCTTCTCATTTGATCCTTATGACAACCCTGCAAGGTAGATACCATTACTATCCCCATTTTACAGATGAGGAAACTGAGGCTGAGAGAGGTTAAGTGGCTTCCCCAGAGATACACAACTAGGAAGAGGCAGAAATGGGATCTGATGCCACCTTCCTGACTCCAAGTCCGGTATTCTATCCACTAAGGCTGTCCCTATGTACCTGAAAACACAGAAGTAATAAATATTAGAGAGACAGCTGGGTGGTATAGTGGATAGAGTGCCAGGCCTGGAGTCAGGAAGACTCATCTTCCTGAGTTCAAATCTGACCTCAGATGCTTACTGTCTGTATGACCCTGGGCTAGTCACTTCACCCTGTTTGCCTCAGTTACCTCATCTGTAAAATGAGCTGGAGAAGGAAATGGTAAACCACTCTAATATCTTTGCAAAGAAAACCCAAAATGGGGTCACCAAGAGTTAGACATGACTGGAAAACAATTAAAGAGCAGCAATAAATATCAGATGTAGGATTCAAACCCAGGTCCTCTAATTTTTGATCTAGTGTTATTTCTATTACACTACAGTTGCTCATTCTGAAAATCAGTATTAAAAAGCACATTTCTCTACTTTTTAGGAAGGTTTTTTTTTAAAAAACATGCAGAGAATTTAAAACAAAATAATAAAAATATGATAGTACACTCACCAGGTAGAAACCTCTTGGGGTGTATACTCAACTTTTGGCAAAGGGTCTCCACTTAGGAAAGAAAAAGGCAAAGAAATTCCTTAAGGAAATGCCCGTTTTCAGTTTTAAATTACTGTGTCATCTATTACATTAGAGCTGAGATTTTATATCTATAAAGTTCAAAGAACATTGAAATTACTAGCTTATATGGGTCTCTCATAAACTGTGACTTCCATGACAGAGATTTGAATTTTCAAGACCAACGGTTATTTTTTCCATTTAACTAAAGAAAAAGAAAAAACTTATAACAAATATACATAGCCAAGCAAAACAAATTTTCACACTGACCATTTCAAAAATAATCTGTCTCAATTTGCATCTTCAATTTATCACCTCTCTGTTAGGCAGTAGGTAGCATGTTTCAACATCAGTGTTCTGATTAAACGTAAATTGCTTAGCAGAATATCTGGTATATGGTAGGTACTTAATAAATGCTTACACCCTTCCCCTTTCTCTGGAATCATGTTTAATCATTGAATCAACAAGTCTTTCCAAGTTATTTGATGTGATAATGTCGTTGTTACATACAATGTATTACATACATTGCATATAGGAAAACACGTTGTTTTCCTGGTTCTACTCACTTCAATTTGTGTTAGTTCATGTAAATCTTTTCAAGTTTCTCTTAAGTTATGATCTTCATTGTTTCTTACAGCAAAATTATATTGCACAACATTAATACAACCTAAGTCATTCATCCAAGCCCCCTGTTGATGCACACTCTTTTTGTTATTATTTCTTTCATACACACACACACACACGCAGTTATTATAAATGGTTATGTACACATGAGACTTTTTTTCTTTTTTTGATTTCTTTTGAGGCATGGGAATAGTAGTGATATCGTTGTGTAAAGGGTTACGCCTAGCTTAGTAACTTCGTGGACATCATCCTAAATTGTTTTCCATAATGGCTGGCCCAGTTCACAGCTCCAACAGTTTATTAATGTACCTGCTTTCCCTTGGTCCCTCCAATTGTTATTTTAATTTTTTTGTAAAATTTCCCAATCTTAAGGGCACAAAGTGAAACCTCAGAATTACTTTAATTTGCATTTTTCCAATTAGTAATGATCTGGAGCATTTGTTAGTATGGGTTTGTTTTTACCAGTTGAGAACTTCCCTTGCAGTTTCATGATCAGACCACCAGGTGGAAACAGAGAAAAACCATTACCAATGTAAGCTTGCCAGGAGATTACACATGAGAATTCTTTTCCAAAAAACAAACTTATTTTTAAAAAAAGATGACCTGATTAATTATCAACAATAAATTAAAGGGATTTTAATGTAACAGCAAACTTACAGATGATAATTCCTTAGAATAACTTAAACAAATAGAAATCCACCCTAAAATTCAAAAATACATCTGTCTTTGATAAACTCTTTTTAGTTTATCCCCTTGTTTTTTCTCTCATCCTTTCCTTAGTCCTACAGCACTTCCCCAACACTGGGATGGTTTAAGAAAGAGCTCTGGCCTTATTTGGCATCAAAACTCCCAGTAGCCTATCCTTGAGCCACTAACTTTAATTTATTTATTTTTTTCTTTTTTAAGATTTATTTTTAGTTTTCAACATTCACTTTTATAAGATTTTGAGTTCTAAATTTTCCCCTTCCCTCGCATCCCCTCTCCCCAAGATGGCATGCAATCTGATACAGGCTATGCATGTATAATCATATTGAACATATTTCTGTAGTAGTCAGGTTGTGAAAGAAGAATCAGAACAAAAGGAGAAAACCACAAGAAAGGAAAAAAAAGAGAGAAAATAGCATGCTTCAATCTGCATTCAGACTCCACAGTTCTTTCTCTGGATATGTATAGCATTTTCCATCATGACTTTTTTGGAATTGTCTTAGATCACTGTATTGCTGAGAAGAGCTAAGTCTATCAAAGTTGGTCATCTCACAATGTTGCGGTTACTGTGTACAATGTTCTCCTGGTTCTGTTCACTTCACTCAACATCAGTTCATGTAAGTCTTCCCAGGTTTTTCTGAAATCCCACTGGCTTTAATTTAAAAGGAATCTTTCCATACTTGCCTACCAAAATTTAGGAGCAACTGGTTGATATTTGGCTTCCTTTTTACCTAATGTCAACTTATTTGTTAGCAGCATTGATTAGTAAGCTTCTCCAAAAATGGTTTCCTATACAGAGTTTAAGGTGACACCATTCCTCACACATCATGACAGATTTTGTCAGAAGTTCTGTCGGAGAAGTTTCTCCTTGCCTTCTAGCTCAAGGAAGGACCAGCTTTACGGAGAGGCAGCGGGGTGCAATGGATGGAATGTTGGATCGGAGTCTTAGGATCTGGTCTGGCTTAGGGTCTGGCTCTGTCATTTACTATCTGGAAGATCTTGGGGAGGTAATTTCACTTCAGGGGAGTTGAAGGCTCTGACTCCTCATCTATAAAATTGAAAGGGTTAGACTAGATGGTGCCTCGTGTCCCATCCAGCTCTGGAGCTATGTTCCTATGAGCTCTAAATTCCCTCCTTAGTCAAATCTACGATCTATAGAAATATTTAAAAGAAGACACAATGGATCCCTTTAGCAACAGCATATTTCCCAGTTCCAACCATCTCTTCTTTCTTTTTTGGTTGTTTCTGAAAAGGGGCTGCTCCCTCCAAGCTTCTCCCTTGCTTCCTGATCAATAGGGAAGGAGGGACCATATTATGAAATTTCAATCACTTTTTTTTAATAACAGGATCAGACCCAAATCATTTCAATAAACATTTATTGGGCTTCTACTGGGGCATCGTACACTGTGCCAGGCTCTAAAAGACAGAAGTCAAACTATCTCCATCTTCAGGGATGTCTGATCAGGAAAGTACACAAATAAACATATACAAATTATACAGAAAGTAATCACTAAATAATTTGGAAGGAGAGGAGGGCTAACAACTGGGAAGATACCAGGGCCTCATGCCGCCTCTGACAAATACTGCATGGGTGATCATGTCCCCCTGTGAGGGACTCTCCCAACAACTATAAATCTCAAAGTGGCAGAGACAGTGTAAATCAACCTGGGCAGAGGACATTTCCTCACAGGAATGCTTTATACCAATGAAGTCAGAGGTCCGTTTTTTTTTTTTTGCTTTTTTGGTAAGGTAATAGGGATTAAGTGACTTGCCCAGGGTCACACAGCTAGTAAGTGTTATGGGTCTGAGGCCGGATTTGAACTCAGGTTCTCCTGACTTCAGGGCCAATGCTCTACCCACTGTGCCACCTAGCTGCCCCCAGAGGTCCATTTTTTTAAAGTCTAAGATTGTCCTGCTGGAAACATAGATGCTGTCATGTCAGCATTAACACTTTAAGAGCTCTGTTCACTGACTGACAGGGAGCCTTGACTGATCTCACTTCAAGAACCAATAGCTCTGGTCCTTTCTTCATATTGCTTTGTATTTATTTGCTTGCATGCCCATGCTGTGTTCCCACTTCCTCCTGTCACAAGAATGTAAGCTTCTTCAGAGACCCTGGGATTACAGCTCTAAAGCTGGAAGTGACCTCAGAGGCCGTATAGATCCACTTCTTCATTTTACAGGAAGCTGAGGCCCAGGGAAGTTAAATAACTTGCCCAAGGTCACAAAAGGAGAAAGCCTCAGAGGTGGGGTTTGAACCCATGTCTTCCGACTGTAACTAGCCCTCTTTCTGCTGTTAGCACAATGTCTTGCATAGTAGGTTTTTAAATATTTATTGAGCTGAATAGAGTTGAATTAAATTAAATTAGCATCAGTCAACTGGTCAATTAATGATATTCAAAAAGGAATTAATAATGGTCTAGTAATAAGTTTATTTAAATTTATTATTTTAGTTTTCCCAAGTTACACATAAAAAACACAATTTTTTCACTTTTTTTCCCCTGATTTTGAGTTCCAAATTCTCTTCCTTTTTTTTCCTCTCCCCCTCCATTGAGAAGGCAAGCAATTTGATATGGGATTTAGTAATAAGTTTAAAAGACATCATCCTTTATAAACAAAAAGAAAAATGGGACACATTAGAAATAGGATTCCTCCCAAGGAGTGTGTGCAGTAGCTTCTTTGTATCTCTTGGCATGAGGAAAAGATCTGATTCATAAAACAGCGAAAAAAGAGAAGACTTGCTCATGTAACACATTTCTCAAGCAGCGATGTGGACGGCCTCACCATCTGCTCACCAGAAATCAATCAATAAACACTTATGAAGTACCTACTATGTGCCAGGAACTGTGCGCTCAGGAAAGAGAGACTTTAACTGAGCACCATCACGGGATTGAAAATGGCAAGAATAGGCACATCATCTACCCCAATTTGTCACTAAATTCTATTGTTCTGTCCTTCAAAATGGCTCTCGGGTTTTCTATTTCTCCTCCATTCCCCTTGCCATTAAATTAATCCAGGCCTCTATCGCCTTGTTCAAGTTTTACAATAGGCTTCTTGCTTCTCTCCTTTTCAATCCATATAACATGTGTGTGGCACATTGATCTTCATTTATGCCACTTTCATCACATTGGTTCCTTGCTCAAGAACCTATGATGGCTCCCTATTGCTTTCCACATAAAGTCCAAACTCTTACTACTTGCTTTTAAGATTTTTACAAATTGACCCTACCAGTCAATCATTTCTCGCTGCTCTTCAATATGTACCAGGCATAATGTGACACCCTGGAACCCTAGTTTAAATCCCCTTTCAGGTATACTAGTTGTGTGACCTTGACAAAGTCACTTAATCTGTCTTAGCCTCATTTCCTTCATCCGTGAAGTGGGAATAATAATATCTACAGCACTTGTCTCATGGGATTGCATTGAATATATGTTTGTATGTGAATGAGATAATGTTTGCAAAGCCCTACAGAATTATGTAAATGCCCATTATTTTTTCCACATCAACCAGATTTATTCTTGGCCCTGTGCCTTTGCTCATGTTGCTTCCCTGGAAGGACTTCTCACCTCCTCTCTACTGATACAAAACCATGGAATCAGTATGCCAGGCCCCTGTACAGCACCAGAGCCCTTTGCCCTTCCCTCTCACCATCACCTTCTCTTTTGACAAGCATACTGCCTGCTGCTTCAGGGACGTTATCTTCATCAATAATTTAATCCAATCCAATCTGATTCAATTTGATTCAGTTTGACTTGAATAGTATAGCTGGAAAAAAAAAGTCTTAAGAGGTCTCCAATTCCAACCCATTTCATAAATGAGAAAACTGAGACTCAGGGAGGCACCTTGACTAGAACTAGAAGGAACCTTAGGAGTAATCTAGTCCAAAACTATTATTTTACAAAGGCCCAAGGAGATACCTGATACCTAGGTATGTAGAATTTGGAGCTAGAAGCCAATTTGTTTTACAGGTAAGGAAGCTGAGTCTCAAAGGGATTGGCCCAAAATATAGTAAATAAGTCAAGACTCAAACCTAGATCCTTTGAATCCACAGGTCTAATGTCTCCCGCCCCACCCCCGGAAATCATGCTGCCTCTCCATCTTCATTTAAATATAATAGATAAAAGGATTGTGTGATCTACTTACTCTCTGTAGTTGACAGCCAGTTCCATGATTTCTGCCCTTCGTTTCTTGTATTGCAGGTCAGCGTAGCCCTAGAGAAAGAAACATCCGTGACAGTAGCTATTTACAAAAAAAATGAGCATATCTCACAGCAAGAGTCGTTTTCCTTTATTGCAGGCCTGCACAACCTATGTCCCACAGACTGTTTGTGGCCCACCAAAGTGGCCTGCAGGCCAAATGTTGTACAGGGCCACCTGAAATCCTATGGCGGGCACAAGCAGCCCTAGGTTGTGCAGGCTGAACTTCGCATAGTCAGTTTTGCTGAGGAATTTGCATTTTCGCTGGCTGCCCAAAATTCTTTGGTGGGCCCCAAGCAGCATGTGGCCATAAGCAGTCTGTGATTTTGTGCAGACTTGCTTCATTGTGGGATGTTCAAAAAGTTTAAGAGACATAATTTCTGAGTAATTAGTAACTTTATTAATTATACTAGCATGTTATTAATAAAAGAGGTCAGTGGCACTCTTGAATGCTAAAGATCCTCATAGTGGTAGGCTCACAGTTTATATGCTCTTGGAAGACTGGGTGTTCCTGAACGTAGCACTTAACTCTGATTGGTTAACAATTAATGAGAAAATGAATATTAAAATGAGAAGTGGGCCATATTTCAGCAAGGGTCTTGCCTAGGTACATCACTTGGATCACCCAAGTCTTGGTCAAAGAGACATCAATTTCCATATCACCTGTCTGACAAAAAGGAGAATCCACATTTTCCCACACCTGTCTGAGCAAATGCAGTGAGCAGGAATTTGCCCATTAGCCCGAACTTAGAATTTCTTTCACTGTCTTTGATTAGACCTTTAGTCTGGGTAAGTCTTTGAGAAAGATTTCCCATACTAGTTGCACTTCTAGACGAGAAAGTAGAAAAGGGGAAAAACCCTGGTCCTGGTTCAATAGTTATTAATACAGGAGAGAAACAATCATTTCTCTCCGTTGAAATGTATCAAGGAGGCCCATAAGCTAAGATTTTCAATTTGTTGGGGTCTTTGACTGTCAGACAAGACATCTCCAAAGAGCTCTGGATTTGGAATCATGGTGATTCCTTTGGCTCTGACAGTCAACAACAATAGCAAATTTAGTTTTTGATCAATCTACAGATGATCTGCTTCAATAAAACATAAGCTACTTGAGGGCAGGAACTGTTTCATTTTGAGTCCTTTCCAGTTCCAGATTATAAGGCACTAACTTGCATAAAGTTCAGTTAAGACATACACCAAAAAAAAAAAAATCTTAGAATTCTGAGTTAGAAGGAAAAGGAAACTCAGAGAAGTGAGGGAAGTCTTCTAGATAATAAATTCCAGAACCGGGATTTGAACCCAAGTCCTCTGATTCCAAATCCAATTCTTTTCCTACTACATAACTACATAGATATCTATGTAGGAGGACTATGGTATCAATTGCTTTGACTGAAAAGATAAGTTAATTAATTAACACAAGTATGACTTTTTTATTAACCAGGGGAAGGATTAAAGGTAATGTTGTATGTCTGGGACTTTCCAACCACCACAATTTTCTAAGAAATTACAGTAAGTCAGTGATGCAGAGGGCAATGGAGAAAGGTGTGGGTGCAAGGTATACGGTGGGTACAAGGTAGCAATATTTACAATAGTGACATATATTCAACAAGTGGCTTAAGAGGATCTATTTGAGGAAATGTACAAATGGAAAAGGAGATGAGTTGGTCATACAGAATGACCATATAGTCAGACATAAAGTTACAGCATTTTCAGAGACAGAAGGGACCTCAAAAGACATCTAGTCCAACCTGTATTGGAATAATAATCCTTCCTACAAGGTACACAATAAGTAGGGATTCAAACTTTGATTTAAGGCGTGTGATGAAGGGTAATCCATCACCTCCCAAGGCAATCTATTCAAGTTTGTGGTAGCTCTCTTTATCTTTACAGTTTTCCTGATATTTAGTCTAACTTTTCTTTTTGCAAGTTCCATTCATTACTTGTAGTACTGTCTTCTGGGACCAAAAAGGAAGTTTAACTGCACTCTGTGGGATGTATATTAAAATATTTTAAAATAGCTGTCATGTTTCACCTTCACCAGCATCCCCCAAGTCTTCTTTTCTCCTGGATAAATATATCCCATTGTTTCAACTGATCCTCATTTAGCATGAACTCCAAGACTCCTTCATCTATTAAATGAAAGGACAAATGCTCCCTAAGGTCCCTTCCATCTTTAGATCAAAGATTTTGTAGTCATATGACCATTCTGCTTACCCTCTTCTCATCACTTTCAAAGTTGCCATTATCCTTCCTAAACTCTGGGGTCTAGAATTGAAACTTTAGTGATTCACTCATACCTGTAGAATATAAACAATACCTAGAGGCAGGCCTTTGACCATGATGGATAGACCGTCTGTGAAAGATCTATGCAAAAGCATAAACAGCAATTGAATGTGATGAAAAGGCATAGATGAGTTGATATTGACCGTGTTATTAAGGAGATCACAGCTACATTTAAGAATGAAATTGTTGGTTGGTTGTTGTCCTTCATGCTTGAATTGAACCAAGATGACATCATTATGTTGGGGTCAAGGTACAGTGTGTCCAACTGGGGCTGATCAGACCAATGTAAGCTTGGAAGGCTCTGCCACAGGTCAGGCACAGATAGTCCATGTGAATGTTTGGAGTAGAGATGGCCCTAAATTAAATGACACCCTCAAACAGGTCTTGTCTAAGATAGTACCATTCAGTTGCTTTGTTGTTATTGTTGTTTTGTTTGTCTCTAAATTTTGTGCAGATAAGTTTCAGCTTTCTATTCGTATGAGCTCATTGCTTGCTTCTCTCACATCGGAAAACATGTGACTTAAGTCCATTGTTTATCACACAGGGTAGAAATATGACTACAGAGAACACAAACAGCTATTATTAACAATTGTTGACTTTCCTTTGGAAAATGGGAACACCCAAAGTTATTTTTTCTGCAAAAATATCTTGCAAAGAATTGCTTTGTAATATACCAATGAAATTGCTCCAGCCCTGGTCAGTGAATTGCACAATGTAGTTAAGCACTAGACTTGGAAATATTTTAGATTGATGTTGTCTCCCTCTTTTGGCCTACCAAGGAAACAGCCTCTTCCCATTCAAATGCCTCCTGAACGTTGACTCCTCCCAACATAGAAACTACTCTTCTTGGACAGTTGCATCACCATAAAGAAGTTTGCTGTAGAAAGTCATTTGCAAAGTTCTCACTGTTTTTCTGTTGTGTTTTCATCTAGGATGTCCTTGATGTGTTAATAGACAGTAGGACAATAGACTCATAGATAGTAAGTAGTAGAAACAGAATTTAAACCCAAATCCTAGATTTTATAGAAATGTAGCAGCAATCATATGAATTGGTACTACTGATGTTTTCTGTAGGCCAGATTCATAGTATTAGTGCTAAAAGGGCCACAAGAGCTGATTTAGTTCAACTTCCTCATTTGTAAAATGAGGAAACTAAAGCCCAGAGATTTGGAGTGACTTGGCAAAGGTCACATAGATAAATATTGGAAAACATGGGATTAGAACTTAATGTCCTGACTCATTTCCTATGGCCTTTTCACAAACACTTCAGTTCCTTCCCTGAGAAGATACTCTACTGCCCCTTATCTCGTCTGAAAAAGAGACAGTCTAGTATTTTAATATCTTGGACTTAGTTTGGACATTGATGAATATGTAATATCATCAGTGTAATTGGGAGAGAGAGGTTAAACGACTAAAGTATCAGATATTTGAACCCAGGTCTTCCTGACTCCAAGTCCCAAACTCTATCCAATACATACAAAATTCATCCCTGTGAATTCATCCATATTTTTTTTGACTTGCACAATGCTTGTCAATGTTCTACCATAGCTCCTCCACAGAAGATCTATCTAACATGCTGATGGCCTTTAGGTCTTCTTAAATTCTATGGTTATTAGAGTACAGCTTAAGTAAATTCTATACATGTGTTTTAGGAAGGATATTGGGTGAGTGGGAGAGTGGCCATAGGAGACCAAATTTTGGTCACACGACCATAGGATAAAAAATTTAGAGCTCAGTATAAACATTGATTGTGAATTATGGGCATAAATTGTCATTGTCTTATGACTTGAGATGATTTATCTTTGGAATGCGGACTGGAAGGATGTTGCTGCCTTTAACAGTATTAGGAAAGTTAGGAGTGGGAAAGTTAGGGGGAAGGAGAATGAGTTCAGTTTTGGACATACTGAGTTTGAGATGTCTATTGGATATACAGTTCAAGATATCTAAAAGGCAGTTGGAGATATGAATCTGGAGGTTATAGCTGGATAAGTATATCTGAGAATCAGCAGCATAGAGATGCTAACTAAATCCATGGGAGCTGATGAGATCACCAAGTGAAATAGTATAAAGGGAGCAGAGACAGAACCCAATGGGCCCTCTATGGTTAGCAGGAATGACCTGGGTGAGGTCCCGGCAAAGAGGAATAAGAATAAGCATTCTGATAAGTAGGAGGAGAACCAAGAGAGAGTTGTGTCCTGCAAATCTAGAGAGAAGAGAGTATCAAGGAGAAGAGAGTGATCAATGGTATCAAAAGCTGCAGAGAGGTCAAGAAGAATTAGGATTGAGAATAGCTACTGGGGACAGGCCTTAGTGGAAAAGGTAGCATCATCCATGATGGCCTACGAGGTAAGACACTGATTTGCACTATGGTGCTGTGTGAAATGAAAAGGCAAGTCAACAAACATTTTTAATTGCTTATTATATTCTGGATACTTTGATGTGTATGGAAACAGCATTGGATTTGGAATTAGAATCATGGATCATGGATTTACAGCTGTAATTGTCCCTATTGGTCCAAAGCCCTTATTATACACATGAGGAAACTGAGGCCTATGGAAGTGGGCCTCTTACTGTCTGTATAAACCTTGGGCAGATTTGTAAAGACCTTGGTTATTTGTAAAATTTAAAGTGTTCAACCAGAACCAGAAACTCTTATTTTTTTGTATTGCGGACCTCTCTGGCCATCTGATGAAATCCATAGATCCCTTCTCAGGATAACGTTTTTAAATTCATGTAATAAAATACAGAGGGTTACAAAGAAAGCAAATTATATTGAAATAAAGATATATATTTTACACATCCAAGTTCCAATTCATGAGCCTGCTGAAATCTATCCCTTGAAGATCCATGGACATCAAGATAAGAGCCCCTGCACTGATCAGTTTCTAAAGCCCCTTCCAACTCAAAGTTCTGTGATCCCACCTTTGGAACCAGACATTTTTCAACATAGCAAGCTCAGCTCATTTTTGTGAATCATAGGTCACTTTCTTACCAACAAAGGTGAGAACATCTTTGTCTGGACCAGTTACATCCTGTAGAGTTGTATAGTGGGAAAAGCATTGGACTTGGAGACATGGGTTTCAGACCTAGCTTTGCCACTGACTAGTTTGTTGCCTTGTATAAGTCACTTAATGTTTCCAAGCCTCAATTTTCTCATCTTTAAAATGAGGAAAGTGAAAATAACAATATCTAGCCTTTATATGGTGCTTTAAGGTTTGCTTTACACATACTATCTAATTTAAGCATCATAACAGTGCTCTGAGACAGACATTCTTTTTTTCTCCCCATTTCACAGGTGAGGAAACTGAGGTTGAAAAAATGAAGTCCTTTGCCCAGGATCACACAGCCATTAAGCATCTCAGGTGAGTTTTGATCTCAGGGTTTCTGGACTCCAGGTCCAACACTCTATCCACACCTTCAAGCAGCTTCAACTCCAAGTAATCTTACCTCACAGTGTTGTGAGATAATAGTTAAAATTTTTTATGTATTAGAGAGAGTTTGAGACTTGGAGTCAGGAAGACCTGGGTTCAAATCTCTGATACTTAGTCACTTAACCTCTCTCTAGTTCAGCTTCATCATTCATAAAATGGGGATAATAACACCCACAGTACAAATCTCAAAGGACTGTTGTAAGGACTGCAGGAGAGAATAGATAGAAAGTGCTATGTAACTCTCATTTCCAAGGATGTTAAATCTAAAAGGTAAGGAAGTGAATTGTACCCAGCCCATCATACCGCAACAAAAGTGATCATACACATTTAAGACAGGGTGTTTGACTTACTGGGTGATCATGGTTCAAGTTGGGTTCAAACCTGGTAACCAAGTGATGGCATTTGTCAAGGTCTTGAGTCTTCTTTGGGAACCAAGGGACTGTATGGGGAAAAAAAGTCAAACGTCCTTTTATTGGAAAGAAAGGGGAGGCTTTCTGAATGTAGGAGAAAAAAGACCCAGCAAATAGTAATGTAGATGGTCAAAGACCCAGCAATTATATGTATAAGGCTTGTACTACCAGATTGTTATAAAAAATGCTCCTAAATTAGCTAGATACCTATCCCTTGGGACAGCAGATTTCTTGTATTCAGGAAAAGAACATTTTAACATAGGTAGTATGTATGTATGTATATATGCATATGTATATGTGTATATATATATACACATGTATGTGTGTATATACATGCATGTGTATGTATGTGTGTATATACATATATATGTGTATATAATATATATTATATTATATATATACTGGAGCTAATGAGCCCTCTGGGCTTTTATTCTATTCCCATTTGCTCCCTTTTAACCTGGTCTGTTTCGTATATACTTTCAACAAGTAAAATCTATGTTACTTTGAGGGATTCCCAAATGGTCCCTCCAAATAGTGGTTTACCTCTACCTGAGCTGGAGAGGTGAGGTCTTTATTGTTTTTTGTTTGTTTTGTTTTGTTTTGGCTAGGCAATGGAGTTAAGTGACTTGCCCAGGGTCACACAGACAGTAAGAGTTATGTGTCTGAGGCCAGATTTGAGCTCAGGTCCTCCTGAATCCAGGGCTGGTGCTCTATCCACTGCGCCACCTAACTGCCCCAAGGTGAGGTCTTTAACAAGAAATTCTCTTGACATATTTTGGACTTCAATCATTCCTGATGCTGTTTCAGATGCCACCACACACACACACACACACACACACACACACACACACACACACACACATACCCCTTAGACCTTGAAAAGCGTTTGTTTTTAAACTCTCCAGATGCATTCATCATTTAGTGTTTTATATCTATGTTTATATCTTATTCCGTCTCTGAGGCTGTAAGTTCCATGGACAGAGATTATAATTAAACTTTATTTCTCCTCCTTTTCTCCTACCCCTCAGAACCTAGCAGGTACTCTAAGACCTGTAACTAATCATTTTTTGCCTCAGGGAAATGGCATGAAATGCCTTCAATTAAATGCTTAAAGACAAATTAATTTGAGGGAGGTCATAGAACATCATCTTGTGGGAAGCAGAAGGAGACAGACACCCCTGGAGATAGGTCCTTTGAGTGAAGAAAGATATTGAAACAGGATAGGGCAGACTGGGGAAGAACTCTTCAGGTGTGTAGCTCTATGGTGAGGGCAGCAATATGTCAGCTCCTAATTTTGCCTAATAATTCTTGTTAACTAGGTGCTGTCAGCTGCAACTACTCCGCTGAAGGGCTGCAAGCATTTTCAGTGGCCTATATATATTGGTGCCCTGGGGGAAGGGGGAGGTAAGCCCTAGCTGCCACATCCAAGGTTATACAAAGTAGACACCTAATAAATGTTTTTAGAATGAAGAAAGAAAAGAGTGGGTCTGCGGGAGGAGCCAAATGATAGCAGAGATGGTAAAAAAAAAAAGTGGAGAATCCAGGTACTTGTATCCTTATGTCTGGCCTTGCCTACTGAGCTGATGAAGAAAAGTATGGAAGCCCTACATACCTCTTCCTTCCCAGTGAATTTTTACATCCTCAGCCACTTTCCTCAAGGAGCTGATGAGCAGACTGATGCTCGAGTTATGGATTTCACACCTCATAAGAACTTCCAGATGGTGCGAAGGGTTTTTGGCGTTGGAGGCGGGCCTGGTTTCTAGATGGTGGATTTTAGTTTCAAAGGACTGAGAAGAAGGGAAGAAAAGCATCTGAGAAATTCTGATAGCTGAAAACAATGAGTCATTTAATAAACATGCATCTACACTAACCCGGAGAGCTTCGTTATTGTTGCTGTTTAAACTCTCGGTTCAGGTAAAGAACTCAGATTTCCCTCCCATCCCCCTGCCCCCCCCATCAAGCTTCCAACATGTGCATTTCCATTTTAAGATAAAATAGAATTAACAGAAACAGTTTAAATTCTGTTCCCTTCTCCCTGAAAAAAAAATGGTTCATTCTCTCCCTTCCCCAGACTAGCTGTATGAAAAAGGGGATGGAGGAGGAGCCATCATACATCCTGCAGGATACCCCCAATCCTTCTCCATTGACCACTCCCATTACTAAGCAGTTTACACAGTGGTGACATGTAACCTCAATGAATAGACTTCCATTCCAATGTACCAGAACCCTGCTGAATTTCTTTCATGGGTGAAACTGCTCCCCATGGATATAAATGGGAAAGGTGAACTTCTATGGTTTCCAGTCTCAGATAGACCCTCTGGAAGAGCACTCTCCTAATTGGAGGGAAAGGAGCATTTTCTTTATTTTCTTACTCCTCTTCCCCAAAACATTCAGGAATGATCACGGGAACCAGAGAAGGAATTTCCCATCCTGCTGAGTTCCAACAAGAGGGGCCATGATTATGGGATGGAAAGTATAACCCTACAGGGAATCTCCTCTGAAAGTCTCATTCCCAGAAATGACCAGACCATTCCAGACAAGCACCTGACCCTGCTATCTGAAGGCCTGGGAGCAGGTATTCTGGGTTTTGTCATGTTGTTTGACCTAGATGGCTAGAGGGAGACAAGAAAGAGCAAAAAAGGTCAAGGCGGAGATGAGATTTGTAACTGATAGTAAATTAGTTGGAAAAGGAGATTATATATTGAAAATAGACAGGGAAAGGGAGTTAAAGGAGAATGTTAGTAATTTAATGTTGAAAATTAAGGGGAACTGTAAGACATTCAAGAGAAGAAAGAGCTTAACTTTCTTCAAGCCGTATGCTTCTGAGTTTCTTGACCAAATTTCAGCAAGGATTTTGTAGTCCCTCTAGGTGGAAATAATCAATACCTCAAAGACTTGGGCAGCCCTTGACAAACCAGCCTTCCCAAGGGAGAAGAGTATGGTTATCTCTGCTCTGCCTTCTTCTCCCTCCCATTTAGCAGCCTGGGGATGGGTACAGGGGGCTCCAGACTCCTCCATGCTACCATCCTGTCCATTTCCTCTCCTTGGTGGGAAGGGAGGGGAATGGGAGTGGGAGACTTCCATCTTCATGGAACAGCAACACCTCAGACTTCACTCAGCAGACCCAGCAGTTGATCTAGGAGGAGAAGAGAATCTGGTGAAAAGTAGCTCCCCCTGCTTCCTTTCCTCAGCCTGTTTGGATTGGCTGGGCTGAGCCCTTGTGGGAAGCCAGAAGGTGAGGACTGTCCTTGGTGCTGAAAGGCAATTGGCCGTAGAGAATGGAATTTATAAAGAGCTTGGCCCCCACCTCCAACTACCCAGAGCCAGGCTTCGGAGGAGGGAGGTGGGGCTGGGGCTCTCTACCTTGGTGATCTGAAAGTTTCTTTTCATGTTTATCCCTGTGCCTCACCTCCCTCTGAGATCTTGGGACTCTCCAACTTAAAAGAGATAGGTGATTTGGACTGATAAGCCCCCACTGATCATTTCTTCAATTCTCCCCCAAATCTTGCTCCTTTTAAATACAAAGCAAGGATTCTTAACCCTTTTTTATATCACGTACCCTTTTAACAGTCTGGTAAAGCCTATGAGCTCCTTTTCAGATGTTTTTAAATACATAAAAGTAATGATATGATTATAAAAGGAACCAATTAATATAGAAATGCAGTCATCAAAATATTTTTTTTTTCTTGAAAAGCATTTTGTAGAACTAAGGTAAAGAACCTCAGCTGAATAGAGGGCTGCTAAATTACTGGAATGGATTACTGGATTCAGTGTAATTTGAGTCAATTCAAAAACCAATTGTTGAAATATCTACTATGTACCAGATCCTGTGCTAGGTTCTGGAAAGGGGTTTGGGGGAGGTTAAAACAATGCAGCCCCTGTCCTCAACATGAATTTAGATCTGGAAGGAATCCTCATTTAGCCCAACACTCCCCTGTTTTCCAGAGTAGGAAATTGAGCCCCAGGGTGTTTGAGTGATTAGTACGCAGTCAAACAGATAAGGGGAATGGGTGGACAGAGACAGCATTTAAACCCAGCTCCTTTGACTCCAATTCCAGTACCATACTGCTCCCACCTCAGGCTTTAGGAGTTTTATATCCCTGACCTCATCTAAATCATAGCCAGCCATCAGAAGATGACTTCTCTCAAGACCTACCCACAAGTTGCATTGCTCTGTGGTCAGGGAATGGTTTGTAGCCGTATGGCACCATAAAAATATATTACAAGCACATATGGATTGCTTCTGTTCCTAAAAATGAAAAGCATTTTCTTAGAAACAATACCCTGTGAGTCAGTTCAGATTTGCAGCTCAGACTTTCTCCTAAAAACTGGCCAATATTGATTTATGTTTCACTGTCGTTGCAGTTTGGGTTGTCCTGTATCACCAAGCATTTGTAGTCAGTTTTCTTCTTGGGCTTAACTTTGTGTCTATACTCTCTATACCCTATGTCTACCTAAGACCCAGCACCCCGGGCAGCATTAAGCTGGGAAGACAGTCTGACTGGTGTGTTCCAGGTTGGAAGATTGAAAAACTAGCCCATCTTTCCTTGGTGTGATTGAGATGTTTTCTCTGCATTTTTGAGGCTGGAGAGAGAGGCTAAAATGTGATTATGTCTATACTTGGTCATTTGTAATGCTCTAAGGTAAGGATTCTTAACCTAGGATCTGTGAATTTGGGTTTTTTTGTTTGTTTGCTTTTGTTTGTTTGGTTTTTTGTTTTCTTAGGCAATTGAGGTTAAGTGACTTGCCCAGGGTCACACAGCTATTAAGTGTCAAGTGTTTGGTCTGAGGTCACATTTGAACTCAGGTCCTCCTGACTTTAGAGCCAGTGCTCTATCCACTGCACTACCTAGCTGCCCAAATTTGTTTTTTTTAAATGTATTTGATAGTTAGATCCCAACATAATTGGTTTCCTTTGTAGTCCTATGTACTTTATTTTATGCATTAAGAACATTATTCTGAGAAGGGAGTCCCTAGGCTTCATCAGGTTGACAAAATGGCGCACGACATTAAAAAAATAATAATGAGTTGCTGCTGTTAGGCAATGTTGGCTTAGGAATTTTTAAAATTGTCACTTTCTAGCATTAAACTTTTTAGGAAACTTTTCACTCTGCAACCTGCAAATATTTCATTGTTAGAAGTGGGTATAGCTCTGACTAGGCTCTTGCTTTTTGAGAGGGTATGAGTTACAGCTGCACAAGTGAACAATTCTCTGTCCTAGAGGTAAGCACGAATAATAGCATGATGTCTGTTGGGGTGTGGAAATAAAGAGAGAGTAGTTTCCCTTAACAGTGAATAAAAAATTACCTTTCCATTTTCTATTTGCTAGAGGCTTTGTTGGAGAAGGGGAGACTGTTACAGTTAAAAATCTCTGCTTCCTCTAAACCTTGATTCTTTAATCCTCTTAAACCAGATCATTTGTATGCATTTGTTACCAATATTCTCATTCTTCTCATCTTGTCATTGTTGCTATTTTGACAATTAACAAATATTTATTTAGTAACTACTTTGTGCAGAGCATGGTGCAAGGCCCTCGGGAAAATATATCATTGAGGTAAAACTCCACCCTTCACTGTTCCACCAGCAATATATTAACATGTTTGTTTCACCATAGTGTATGCACATTGAATTTTGTCATCTTAATATAGTTGCCAGTTTGGATATTAAGTGGAAGAAAAGCTTTGAGCCTCCTCTTATGAAGCTATAGCATCATTTTTCTAAGTTCTTATATGAGACTATATGAGGAGAGCACAAGCTCTGGATCCCATTAAGTGGGGAAGGCTCAAGACCAAGTTGGCTAAATCTTCAGAGCCTCCTTGCTGTTAGCCTTGGGATGCTGGGGTTCCCCAGCACTGTCATACTATCTACTAAAAGGCTACCATTTCACTGTCCCAAATGACAGAGGTCTTTCAGTGGGAGCCCAGAATGGAGGGTTCCCATGCCAATAAAAATGGGGATATCTGATGCATGGGAGCATTAGCCATTGCCACGTCAGTATCTCATCTTACTCCCAAAGCAGGATCATTGTCGCTGCAAACCGTCTGTGTGGTCAGGAGACAGAAGGAACTGATTTTATTTGACCTACAAATGAAGAGTCAAATCAAAATAGGTGATGCTAGTGAATAAGAAGAGGGAAGTTTGCGACAGCTACTTTTGAGTTAATATGGAGCATTAATAAAATGGATATATTTTACAAATAAATGGATACATTTATCCAAATATAAGAACTAAAATTTACATAGTGCTTTAAGGTTTTCAGAGCATTTTACTTATATTATCATATTTAATCCATATAACGACTTTGTGGAATAGATGTCATTTTCCCCATTTTATGTGTGAGGAAACTGAGGCTGAGAGGCTAAATGATTTATCCAGGGTAACACAGTTAGAGATTTGGTGAGGAAGGATTAGAATTTAAGTCTTCCTGACTCAAGGTCCAGTATTCTATCCCCCACAGCACTTCGCTGCCCTGGAAGGGAAGATTTCTAAGTTATGGAAATGTTTTGATCACAGGCAGACCGCTGGCAATCTTAGACAAACAACTACAAATATCAAATCGATCCAAAGACCATGTAATTTAATTTTTAAAGTATTTTATGTTTCCTTCAATTACATGTAAAAAGGAGCGTTTATTAAGAGACTATTACATACGAGACTACATGCCATACTAGTTGAAGACCAAAATCAAATAACTCCCACCCTCTGTGGACTTACATTATACTGGTTTTAGGATCACAAGTTTAGAGCTGGAAGATAGCTGAAAGGATATTTAATTCAACCTCCTCATTTGACAGAGGAGGCCCAGAGACATAAAGAGACTTGCCCGAGGTCACAAAGCTAGTGGGAAGCAGAGGCTCTAGGATTCAAACCCAGGTTTTCTGACTCCAAATCCAGCACTCTTCCACTGTATAACACTGCCTCTCTAAGTAGATCTCTAAACTCTAAAGTTCTGCCAGGCCAGTTCATTCAATTCACCCTTCTGTATTTTCCCTTTGCTTCCCCTTATCTTTGTTGCTGAAATATCTTTGGTCTCTTTCCTTTTCTTACTTTCAGGTAAAATGTCAGAACTACTGGCTCGTGGGGCAATTTGAGGCTGCCCATTTACAAATGACCTCCGTGTGGCATAGAATTTCCAGCGCCTTCCCCTACTTCTATCCCCAATCCCCACCACTTCCTACCTTTCCCTTCCTTTAGTGATTCCCTGTCCTGGAAAGGTGAGTGAGCTGTCCAATGTTCTGAGAGCTTTGCGGAGCCGCAGAGATAACTCGAAGAAAGAATCAGCCAAGCAATCGAAACGGTCTCCTCCCCAGCCCCACTAAGCCACCCTCCCGTGCTTCCCATCAAGGCTCTACTCTCCCAGGAGGATTTCACCCTCTCCTTTTGTCTCTTCTTTCTTCCCACTGAGCGGAGAGAAACGTGAGTTTCAAAGGGCTTCTTCCCAAGGAACCTGCCTGGAATCCTTCTCTCTAATAGGATTCGAGGACTATTGAAAAGCTTAGCCCTGCATCAGACTGAAACTTTTCGATCTCCTCTCACTTTCAGAGAACAGAGAACCTGGACATAAAAGGAACTTATTATCAATAGCCAGTTACCAGTACCCTAAAGAGTAGAGGATGTGAAAGCATTCAAATAGGAAGGAATCTATTATAAAACAAACCTTGTGTCTAGCCAAAAAGAAGTGACCTGATACCTACCCCCACCCCCAACTTCAGACCACAGAATGTCAGATGGGAAGGGGTCTTACTGATAGTCAAGTCCACCTGATTATCAGATGAAGAAACTGATAATCAGTGTTTGTGATTTGACCATAGTCACAAGGATGCCGTGGCACAGCCAGTCTTTCTTCATAGGTTCTCCAATTTCCATACTATTCTAAGCCATCACGTTGCCATATATATATATTTGGTCATGGCAATTTCCCTGGAAGTTTGATCCCTTCTTAAAATTGGTTCTCTCTGCATTCAGCATTATGGAGATGACTGGAGCCAAGGAGGGGATACGAGAATCAGATGGGCTTTGCCTCCTTAGTGAGAAATGGGAATCCCATTTTCCAGTGAATCAGCATGTCTCAATGTGTTTTTTGGCAGTTTGGAAACAAAGTGGGGGAAAACATTCAGAAGTGGAACTCAGAGTTTTACGCTTCCATTTACATAGAGCAAGGAGTGAGAGACATGAAAAGTGCTGAGACTGTATTCCAGGAGAGGGAGTCCAGGACATCTTTATTTACAAAATATCTCAAGCTGGTAGCTAAGCTCAACACCAGATCTGATATGGGAAAGCTGGGGAGACCCTTGTGAATATCAATGGAGAAGGGCAGATATTCTGGCAGCATTTGGGAGAGTTCAGCAGCAAGTGCTTGAGAGGGTAGAGCTGAGTTCCAGAGCTCTCTGGATCACCACTAAGGCTGATGTGAGAAGCAAGCAGCTCGATATAGTTGAAAACCTGTGAGGTTGTTGGGGGGGGGGGGGTTAGATGTCAGAGGAATTGCATTCAACTTCCTGCCTCTGTTTCTTACCATTTATGACCGTGACAAATCACTTACCTCCCTGAGTCTCAGAGAGTTGGACTAGAATCAGGGGTGGGGAACCTTCAGCCTTCAGGACACATGTGGCCTTCTAGGTCCTTAAGGGTGGCCTTTTGACTGAACAAATTCTTTTAATAAAATAAATAAAATTATTTAATACATTTAAAAATATTTAATAAATAAAATGAAATGCCTAAAGGCCACAGGTTCTCTACTCCTGGGTAATCTCCAAGGTGTCCTCCAGGTCCAAATCTGGGATCCTAAACTGTGCTGGATGCAGGGAAGGCTTAATTTCCTTCTAAGAAGAAAAACCAATGCATCTCATTCAAGCCTCCTCCTGTTTTTTGGTGAAAGGATAAACCCACTGTAAACTCCAACAAAGATGGGCAGTCACAGTCTCTCCTCTGCTAACAACGTCCTTCCTGGACTTAACCTGCAATGCACATTCATTTCCTAACGTCCTTTTAATTAATCAGTGGATCTGAGAAGCCAAACTCATCAACTTGCCACTAATGCCCTCCCAGTGTCTGACCTGGTGCCTGGTCCATAGTGGGTGGTTAACAAATGTTTATAGATCATTTATTGACTCAAGATTTATGTATGCAATCCCTGGGAAAGGGACAATAATAGCTGTTCATCCAAAGAACTCAAAGCATTCCCTACAATTAATATCATGTCGTTTGTGTATAAATCTTTGTAAAGATTTTTCCCATTGATTAACTGTAATAAATGTAACAATCAGGTTGTTGGTACAATAGAAATGCTTTAAAGTAGATTTAAAAGAAATTATTTTAATGTTTACATGTACACTATGTATTCCTGTTCATATTTACCAGGTGATCTTTTTAAAAAGTTACTATAGATAAAAAGGCTATGTCTTAAGACTACCAAAATTAAGATCTACGTCATCTGTGAGAGAGATTTTAAGAAACACTCCCCAAAGCTTACAGATTTTTAATTACATGCATGTGTGTATACAGATATATACAATCTCTCTTTTTGTGTCATACAAACTCTCTCAACAGAATGAACTTAAGGCACTTTATATATTCTCTTTTAAATGGGTTAACTCCCAGTAGAGAGCTCTTTGAGTAGTTAGGTGGCTTGTGGATAGACTGGCAGGCCTGGAGTCAAGAGGACTTGAGTTCAAATGTGACCTCAGACACTTACTAGCTGTGTTACCCTGGGCAAGTCACTTAACCCTATGTGCCTCAGTTTCCTCAACTGTAAAATAAGCTGGAGAAGGAAACAGCAAATCACTCTAGCATCTTTGCCAAGAAAGCCCCAGATGGGATCACAGAGAGTCAGACAGAACTGAAATGACTCAACAAAAACAACAAGAGATTTCCTGATGAGGAACTTTATCAGTGCAGTTTTCTGCAATTTACATTCTTAGGAATTCCCTGGGGTATTTAGAGGTTAAGTGACTTCCACAGGGTCACCCAACCAATATGTGTCAGAGGGAGGAAGTGAACCTAGATCTTCTTGAATCCAAGGCCAGCTGTCTATGCACCAACTACATCATATTGTTTCTCATGTGAGTGCACTATGTGGTATGTAATATATAGCACATATTACATATATCTTATATATAATACATATGCACATCTAGAGAAAATATAAAATGTATTTCACTTTTGCCTTAAAAAGAACATTTTCCCACAGTTTTTTAAAAAAATTTCTATCACTCTCTTTGCCCTTTTCTCTTCATTTAGACGGTCAGCTTCCTTTTAGATATGCTTGTCAGCCTGATCCATTTTAACATTCCTCAAGACACACTTTTTTGGTCACCTGTACTGGGTAGTCAGTCTGAAGCCACTCCTATCAACCTTCAACTGCTCTATGTGTTTGTCATAGGAGATGAATTTATAGATTACTTTATAGATTAAAATGGAGTGAACAAATGGTCTCTCTCAGTTCTAGCTATTGCAGTGGCCACTGTCTGGAACTGATCATATATTTCGAGGTTACCAGTAGATCCTGCTCAGCCAGATAAAATAGGGCAACACCTGCCCTTCCAGTCGAAATATGGAACATCTGCTTAGCCAAGTAGTGACTGCTGCCTGAACCCTGCTGGCTCTCAGAGATCCCTTCATTGTAACATGTGACCTACAGGACTCTCTGGATTGACTTCCCATGAGGAAGCCAAAATAAGAGGAAATGCTGCACTTGGCTTAGTCAAACCTTAATTCAGATTGGGCCTTGAAGTTTCCCATAGCTGTTTCTTTGCCCAGGTTTCCTTTTGCTGTTAGAAGCTTGACCTCCCCTATTTAATCTTTTTTCCCACTGTAACTTTTAGTAAGACTTATTTTTGCTAACTCTTTCTGGTTTTCTTTGTCCTGGTGCTCCCAAAATTTGACCTTGGAACTTCCATGCGTGACAGGTATTGAAGAATGTGTAAGGATACACTTGTCAAGGATAAGCAGGTGGTAGTGGTAAAGGGAGTGGATACTGCAGGTGCTGGGCTCACTGTATCGATCTATTTTGCTTAACCCCTTTTTTCTTTGTTAAAGGAGTGTTGAGGTAATAATGACAAGTAACTATGTTTGAAAAAAAAGCAAAAAGGAATTAAAATTTAAAAATGACTTTAAAAAAGACATTCTCAGTGGTTTTAAAGAATGCAAAGAAAAGATATCAATTCTCGTTACTTTTTCCTCTTGAAAATAGTTTATTTGCAAAACACACTCTGCACTTTGATATGTCTGTTCTTTTCAACAAGGATGAATTATAGACATTAAAAAAATTACAAGTTGAATTTCCTGATCAGTAACAAACACTGCTATCACACAGACATAAATTTTTATCATTTCATACAATTCTTCACTTATAAAGAGTCATCATCAATCATCCAGAAAATGATTGCTACTGTTGTTAATAAGAGACTAATTCATTTGACACCTTGCTACAAAATTGAGTGGCAAAGAACTGAATACCATTTAAAAGACATCCATAAAATTTGGATGAGGCTTTATGCTCCAATGGAATGAGCACTGACCCTGAAGTCAAGACCTGGGTTCAAATCCTGCACTGGTGTTTACTCTGCTGTGACTTTGGGCCAGTCACTGCATATCCATCAGCCTCACTTTCCTCATCTGTAAAATGGGGGGATGGACTTGATGATCTCTGAAATCCTTCTAGATCTTTATGATCTGCCTGTCAGATAGAATGATCCACCCCATAATGTAGATGCTCTCTCCAGTAATATAAATTACAAATTGAAAATTCAGAGAAGACATTCCATTAATTGTGTAATATTTTTCTATAAAAATTTAACATGTCTAAAAGATTAAAATTTAATTTCAATTACCTAAAAATCTTTTAAATGAAAGGCAAAAAGTCACTTCCTAATGAAAAAGTCTGCAACAAAAAATAAAGATTCAATCATAAAGTACAACTAACTGAAGCTTGAAATCCATAATAATAATGGTTGATATTTATATAAACAAAGTCATTAGAACCACAGAGCAACTCTTTCTCATGGGTAGTACAAATATTGTTCTTTCTCTGCAGAGAAGAGTTTCAGAGACATTAAGCGATTTGTCCAGCAACAGCATCAGAGATGGGATTCAGACCCAAATTCACCTGACTCCAAATCCAGCCTTTTCCAGCTGCACAGAAAAGGTATTAATTCCCAATACAATTATGTGGTCTTGATTATATGATCAACCTTTCAGGTAGGCCAGTATTGGAAAAAATGTTATAAAAAGATTTCATGCATCTGACAAGGGAATGGAGGAGATTACCTCTGAGATCCTTTCTAGTTCTGAGAGTTAGAAGATAAATTCAGGTGATACATTCAGGGGATAAACTTTAATTTTACCTCTAGAACCAATGCCAGTCTCTCAAGTTTACAAAAGCACTTGAGGGGGTAGTGGAAAAGTAGATAGGAGCATGGCAGTCACACATTATACACAATGTAGGATACCATGTTATTTAATAAAGACACTTTTAGGTCAAAGGACAAATGAATAGCATTCATCTAAGCATTCATACTGTCTCAGTATGGTGGAAGCAGCTGCTTAAAGAGTTGTGTACATGTTTGAATAAAGACATTTTTTTCCACAATAGAACCATTAGGATATCCAACAAAGGTGAAGCTGACTTCTGCCTTGGCTGCTACCACCATGGGAAGCAGGCAGGAAAGGCTAAGCCCAGCTGCTTTCTTTATCTCACACCCATTGCAATTTGTGAATGGTCCAGGACAAAAGCACACAGTGACCTGACACCAGAACTGCCCTAAAAAAAATGTTTTGAGTCCTTATTGGAAAATCATACTAGATAAGGGAAAAGACTCTCTACCTTCCATGAGAGTCCAGATGATAGGACAACAATGTGGGAGTGTGTCTATTACAGGGGACTCCGTGTAACAGCACATTTTTAACGTGGCTTCATTGTCTTCTAGATTAAAGAAGCCTGATTTGGAAATATGATTTATTTGAGTAGGAAACTGTGCCAGTTAGGATTCAAAACAGAGCCTGGAAGCTTGATTCTCATGGACATATACAAACATACACATACATATCTATGCATATGTATATATGTATATACCCATGACTTGTGAAACAGTGTGGTGTTTCACACATGTAGGTATACATACATGTACATGTGTGTACATATATGTGTATAGTATTTCCCCTCTGAGCAGGGAAAATCTTCCAGGAGCACATTATCAGGGTGACAAAGTAATAATAGCCTCTGGTCTTTACATAGCATTTTGGACTTCAGATATCTTATCTTAATTGATCCACATACCAACAGTATGAAATTAACACTGGAGAGGCAGTCTGGCATACTCCTAAGACCACAGACTCTAAAGTCAGAAGATTTGGATTGAGATCCCCAATTTTGCCACTTGTACCTGTGGGACCTTAGACAAGGAACTCCATTTTTATGGGACTTGGTTTCTTCATCATACAAGTGAGCAGGTTAGAGAGATGACCTCTAAGGTTCCTGATGGCTCTAAATCTGGGATCTTAAGAGGTAAATACTCATTCTCTCAACCTCATTTTTAGAGCTCTTCCCTCTTTTACAAATTGGGCATGTAATTTGTATTTACATAGCTGTGTCAAATTCCTTATCCTCTTGGTGACTTGGGCAAATCTCTAGGACTAGAAATTTCAGAAGAAGTGCTAGCCTACATTGATAGAGGAAGTCTCACTGGAGTTCCCCATACCAAGGAAATTACAAGCGCAATCCCTCTCCCCTGTGTCATGTCTCCCCTCATTAGAATACAAGCTCTTTGAGGGAAAGGATGTTTTTTGGTCCTTTTTTGGTTTTGTCCTTTAATCTCTAACACCTGGCAAATAGTAAGTGCTTAATGAAACCGTGTTGAATTAAGTAAAGTTCAACATGCCCCCATGTAATACATCAAGAAACTGAAGCCAAGAGGTCAGGGAGAAGTGACTTCTCCAAGCTTACATGACTATTGAATGTGAGAGGTGGAATTTTAACCTGAGTCACAAAAAAACCTGTCATTCTTTGCAACTTTGAATAATTGGTATCCTAAATGTATACTAACCTCACTACGAATATGGGAGATCACTAATCCAAAACTAGGCAGGAAAAAAAAGAATGATTTTCCCTAATCGAGATGATTCAGAAAGGTCAATTGGACAGAATTGTGGGTGCTAATATACAGTCATTTAAAATTAAATAAAGCATGTATAGCTTTTGACTATTTGTAAAATTGACAATTCTGATGTTTTAGATAGGATAATAAAAGGATTTCCATGCACATGGTCAACAAGTTGATAATTCCAGAACCTGGCGCACATCTTCATTTCATTTTCTGAAGGGCATTGCAGAGGATTCCAAATTCACCTACAAAGCAAAAACACCATGAACAAGTTAAAAAAAGTCAGTTATAGATTCGCTCAGTCCAACTCACAACTCCCAAAGCAATAGACTTGACAAGCATTCTGTTTGATTGTTCTCTTGAAAAGAAAGCTCAGTCTAGTTACTAGTGGGTAAACTGAGGCATGCTGGACTTCAGATTTCCTGCCACCTTCTTCCTCCAAGGACCAATGAGACATAGAATCACAGGTCTTTAGAGTGTGAAGGAACTTTGCCATCATTACCATGAAGAGCCAAAATCCAAGTTTGAAATATAGTTCTATTACCCCGTCAAAGCAGGAGGTCCTGCAAGAAATGATGATCACAACCCTTCCATGCCTGCCCAACCTGGCTTGTCCATGTCTCTACAAAATGTTTCAGTAAGGGATTCACCCAACATGCCTGAGGCCTTCTTTGATTTCTCCTGACATTGTGAGGGGACCAGTGGAGAAATCTGGCTGTCCTTCAGTCAGCCCCTCTTCTCCCGTCAGGGAATTATTTAATGACATCTTTTACTTTTGCTCTGCTTTGGAGTTCTACTTTAGTTAAAAATGAATAAGTGTTTCCTGACTTGACTTCGTAGCCTGATCAACCCTCCATGAACCTCTTCATTGGCCTCTGTGGGATATTCATCTTTATCTCTTTAGAAGTGATGGTGTTTCAGGTCCCACTGTCAAATAGCTACACTAGTAAATGTCACTATTGAAAAGATGGACCTTGGCTTTCATGGGAAACTTGGGGTCAGTAAAGGATCGCTGCAATTTCCCCAAAGTAATCCAGCCTTCTTTTTTCCTCCTGTTAAACTATGTTTGTTTGTTTTGGGGTTTTTTTGGTGAGGCAGAGGGGTTAAGTGACTTGCCAAAAGTCACACAGCTAGTGACTATCATTTGTCTGAGTCCAGATTTGAACTCAGGTCCTCCTGACTCCAGGGCCAGTGCTCTATCCACTGTGCCACCTAGCTGCCCCCTCCTGTTAAACCATGGACCCAACTTGCAGTCCATCCAGATGGTATGTCCTGGAGGTTAAAGTGACTTGCTCAGAATCACACAGCTAGTAACAATCTGAGATTGCATTTAAACCTAGGTCCTCTTGAATCCACATTCAACACTCTAAATGCTGTTACCATCTATCTGCCTCTCAATCAGTCAAACTTAGCTGTCTTTCCTAATTTTCCACAAATAGCGGACCTCCCTTCTGCCCCTTCGGCTGCCCTCTAAAGAGAGAGAATCCCAAGGCTACCATTACTTACAGCTGATGGAGTCAGCCAAAATTTTGAGCTTTTTAGTGTTATCCAGAACCTCAATCCTTTGGGTGTATGGGTCATAACGCACTGAGAAGGGTCGAGGAATTGTTGAGGCAAAGCTCCTAAAGGCAAAAACAGAGACTTGGGTGAAGGCCAAAATTTGATCTAGAGAATTTCTTTTAAAAAATAATTAGCAGGGAGATTCACTTCTGGTGTTTATTATGTACCATCATACCACCTGAAGATCTGCCCTCAGTGGCCCACAGCTTGAAAGAAAGATCATTTTATTGCTGAGGATTCTGAACCTAAAGGGTCCACAAATCCTTCAGAGGGGTGTGTGAACAGATTTCAGATGGTCTGTGAACTTGGATGTAAAAAAAATACATTTTAATTTTTTCTACTGTCTTAACTGAAATTTAGTTTTTCTTTCCATTATGAAATCAGGTAACAAACAATATTCTGGAGAGAAATCCATAGGCTTCACTAGACAGCCAGTGGGGGCTACGATACAAAAAAAGTTAAGAGCCCAGCCTTACAATGAGGTTGTCAGAAAGCAGACTTACCTCACTTTTTCTTTGGCATCATTAAAGCTCTCAGCCACAAAATACACAGGCTGGAATTGGGTGACAGAGTACTCCTGGACTGCTGTTGTTTCGAGGTCCAGGGGTAGAAGCTTAGGTTTATCAGATAAGCAGTACTGGAAGCCAGAAATGGAGTTTTTTTCAATTAATAGTTAATAGTTAATCAACAAACCTTTACTAAGTGCCTACTATGTGCCAGGTACTGTACTAAGCATTAGAGCTACACAGATACATTTTTTGCCCTCAAGGACCTTGCATTCTAAGACAACGTGCAAACAAATGTAAGATACCAGCAGGATATGTACGGAATAGATGATAGGTATTCTCAGAGGCAAGTCTGGCTGGCCATGTAGTGAGAGTCAAGGATTAAGAAATGGCTATAGTTCAAGTGACTCCAGACCTGGTATTCTATCCACTGTGCCTCCTAGCTGCCCCTGGAGGAACAGAGCCTTATACAAACTGGGGGGAATCAGGAAAGGTTTTCCATAGGACTTGGCACTTGAACTAAGCCTTTTTAAGCCCTCAGTTAAGCATTCCAAGAGAGTGCTGTTGCTCTTCTTTTGTTTTTGAAGAGGACTAGTGACATCACAAGTGATGTCTTGACTTGGCATGAATTGGATTTAAGTGAAGCACAGTTGTGAAAAGTCCCTCAGCCTCACTTTCTCTTCCTGAGTCATCAAAGTATGCTAAGGATGAGACATATGCCAGGCACAGGAAATGGGCCGTGCAAAAGCACTGAAATGAAAGGTGGAATTCTGAGTGCTGGAAACAGCAAATCAGTCAATTGGTGGGAATGTAAAGGTCATGAAGCAGAGTAGCCTTGGACATCCCCCAACTTCCCAAAGTCATAATTATAAGAGAATTCACCCTTCCCTTCTCCATTGCTATCCTGCCCCACCCTCTCTCTTCTTCTCTAGTAGATGGGTGCCTTGAAGAGAGCTACAACTAGGCCAATTACAACAATAACACCCCCCCCACCAATGCTTGAGTCTGTGGAAACTGTCATTGGCTCTTGTAGGCCCATATTACCCACCTGTAATTCCCCAAATGAAGACAGGAGCCCAGCACCATATGCCTTAATGGAATCACCTTGTTTGCAGAGGCCAAACTCCACAGTAAACCAGTAGATCTGAAACGGAAAATTGGGTGAAGCATGCCCCACTCCCACCCCCATTCATTCTCTCTCTCTCTCTCTTTCTTACACACACACACACACACACACAAACACATGACTCTCACAACAACCCTGTGAATTAGGTGCTATTATTATTCCTATTTTGCATGTGGGGAAACTGAGGCTCATAAAGGTTAAGTGACTGGCTGTGGTCACCCAGTTAGCCCAAGGTATTCCTGATTCTGAGTCCCAGTACTTTACTGTGCTGTACTGATTCTTAAAAGTCTCCCTGACTTCTCCAAAATAGTCAAGTGTTCAGACTTCGAGTCAAAGGACTCCTGCTTATACTGTTATAATTGTCTCCTAGTCCAGGATGATCATTCAAAAGTCCCACAAAGCTCATATTACCGTTGCCAGTTTCTCAATATATTCATCAGGGGCACCCAAAGAAGCCAGGCCAATTTCCTGAAACAATAAAAAAGTGTGTTCTTAGATGCTAGGGGTCCATCAGCCACTTTACTAAGTTTATATGATGTACAAAGTGTCATACTGGATAAAATGGGAGGTGATATAATATATCTCCTGTCTGTCCCCTTTTCTCCACTCACCCAGCTACCCCCCTTGTACAGGTTCCCATCACCTTTCCCCTAGACTTTTGCCATAGTCTTCTAATTGAACCCCCCAAATCCATCTTCTGTCCTATTCAATCCATACTCCATATAGTGGCCAAATTGCTATCCCTAAAGCATGAGTCTGGTCATGCCTCCCAACTCTCATAATCCTATTCATCCTTCAGGTACCAGCTAAACAGAATCTTCTTTCATAAAACCTTCCAATGACTGCCCCCCCAACAAAAAAAAATCTTGGCTATGATCTTTCTCATCTCTCCACACTTCCCCAGCACTTTATTCCCAAATCTCTTATGGCACTTATAGTCTGCCTTGCTTACAGGAGTTCTAAACCTGGGGTCTGTGAACTTGGTTTTATGTAAATGCATGTGTGTATATATACACATACAAATATATATGTATATACACACAAATGTGTGTGTGTGTGTGTGTGTATGTATGGAATTATATTTCAATACAATTGGTTTCCTGTGTGATCCTCTGCATTTAAAAATGTTATCCTGGCCAGGTGTGATGGTAAACACCTGTAATGATAGGTACCAGGGAGGCAAAGGCTGTAGGATCTCTTGACTTAGGTTCTGAGGTATAATAGGCTATACCAATTCTGTGTCTGCATTAAATTTGGCATTGAGATGGCAAGCCTGGAAGAACAGGGAATAGGGAAAGTACTAGGTTACCTAAGGAGAGGTGAACTGGCCCATTTTGGAAATGAAGAGGGTCAAAACTCCTGTATTGAGCAGAATGGGACTGAGAAATAGCTGTTGGATTTCCTCCCATATTGGACAATATGGGGAAGGGGAAGAGAAGGAAATAACTATTTATTAAGTGCTTACTGGATTCCAGGCACATATAAGGAAATGTAGTCTTTAAAACAAAAACAAAAGCAAAATCCCCATTATTCTAATGAGTCTATAGGCTTTATGAGACTGCCAAAGGGGTCCATCACACATATGTTAAGAAGTCGTATATTAAAATACTGTATTTGCATACAAATCTCTTGCCTACTAGACTGTAAATTCCTTGAAGGCAGATTGCCTAATTCGTGTTTCTATTATCCATACATAGTACCTAGCACAGTAAAGAGCTATATAGTAGGTATACAGAGGTATACAGTAGGAAATTGATAAGTGTTTGTTGAATGTATACAGAAATTTATTTCCTCACCTGGGAAAACTGAGCAAAACTTCGATCAGAAAACAATGGAACATGCCCTAATAGCTCATGGCAGATGTCACTGAAAGAAAGCACAAAACTTATGTTTTATTAATGAGCAGGATGGTTTCAGAAAAACCTGGGAAGATTTATATGAACTGATGCAAAGTGAAGTGAGCAAAACCAGGAGAACATTGTGCAAAGTAACAGCAATATTGTAACAATGATCAATTATGAAAGACTTAGCTACCCTTTTCAAGACAATGATCAAAGACAATTGCAAAGGACCATGATGAAAAATGTTTTCTACCTCCAGAGAGAGAACTGATAAGACTCTGAATAGAGATTGAAACATACTTTTTTCACTTTCTTTATGTTTCTTGTTTTTTAAAAAAAAATTATTTTTTGCAACATGGCTATTACGGAAATATGTTTTGCATGACTTCACATGTACAATTGATATCACATTGTTTGCTTTCTCGAGGAGGGGAGAGAGGAAGGGAGAGAATTTGTAACTCAAAATTTAAAAAAAATGAATGTTAAAAATAAATGAATAAAAAGTTAAAGGAGTCAGAAAGAAGTTATGTGTCATTCACAGGTTTTATGTGTGGCAAGAAGAAAGTTGAAAAAAATTATATTGGAGCTAAGACATAGTGAAGCAGGGGGTGTGGTAATAGGCATGAGCAATATGACTCCCTATTACTCCTTCTGGCATTTAAGGGAAGGAGGCCAAGGGGAGAAGGGGAACGAGAAGAGGAAGGAAACAATCTATTAAGTGCTTACTATGTGCCAACCAGAAACGGAGATCCTGAGATTTAATTTCTAGGGGATCAAAGTATTTAGGTCCTTAGAGGCCATGTGGTCCAACTCCCTTATTTTAAAGATTAGAAAACTAGGCCCATAGAGAAGAAATGGCTTGCCCAAGGTAGTAAGTAGCATTATCAGGATTTGAAGCCAGGTCCTTTACTTCCAAATCCAGTAAACATTCAACCAACCCAGAATTATGGCAATGGTGGGTAGACTCCATGATTCCATTCTGCCTTACCCCACAAAGGAAGCTCAGTTGGCACCAAACTGGGACCATACCAAAGATATAATGAGAACAGGCTTGGACACAGGTTAGATCAACTGTGGGACTAAGTCCTAGTGGATTAAATGGTATTATGTAGTATCTGGAGCTAAGGAGAGGAGCAGGGTAAAGAAAAACACACTTTCCCTCTGAGATTATTACCTTCCATCTATCATGTACATTTCACGTATGTACATGGCTTTTTGCACGTTGTCTTCCCTACTAGAATGTGAGCTCCTTGAAGGCATGGACTTTGCTTTTGCCTTCTTTGTAGCCTCAGTCCTTGGCATGATATCGGCTACATAGTAAGTTTTAATATATGCTTGTTAACTGACTGACTGACTGTTGCCATGGTCCTACAGTTCCTAAGTCTTTCTCAGAATCAGTACATTAATGATCTGGGATGTCCTTGGTGAAGAACCCATGAACATCTGCAGATAGCAACACACTTAGGCTTAGGGAGTTGCCTGAGGCTTGGAGAGTTGAAATAATTTGCCCAGAGTTAAATAGCTAATTAAATGTCTGAGGCAATATTTGAATCCAGATCTTCCTGACCCCAAGTCTAGAGGTCTATCTGTTATGTTTTTTCCTTTATAACCTCTCTGAATCAAACAGAAATGTCCAAATTCATGCCTACTACTTTGGCTGATACTCACACATCTGGCAAGTGCAAAGTACTCATATGTTTGGTAAATTCAATAAATTTCTGGTCTGTGATTGCATTGATTTGGAATAGGAGAGGAGGAAAAGGAGGAAGGAAACCCATTTATCAAGTACCTGCTACATACTACACTATGATAAGCTCTTTACAAATATTGTCTCAAACTCCCTCCACCAATTAAAGTTAGCACTTTCTCAGCAACTGAGGGGGAGCCCAGACCCCCACAGCCAGTCTCTCTCAGACACCTAGGCATCTGAGTCCAAGCCTCAAAGGCATCAGTTGCTTAGCCATTAACACAACCAGATCCAGCCTTGATATTAATGCCATCAGGGACCACTGGAGAAAAATATAGACAGTGACTACAGTAATGGATATGAAAAGAATCTCAAAGGAACACACACTCTGACTGTAATTACAAAAAATATCAATATTGGTTCCAGAGAAGAGATACTGAAATGCATCTCTTTCCTCTTGGCTGAGAGACAGGACAGACTACCAAGGCAGAATGTTGAATGCATTGACAGATATGGTCACCCTATCCTTGTTTTGGGGCAGTTAGTTGGCACAGTGGATAGAGTGCCCTGGAGTTAGGAGGACCTGAGTTCAAATCCAGCCTCCAACACTAACTAGCTGTGTGACCCTGGGTAAGTCACTTCACCTGACTTGCCTCAGTTTCTTCAGTTGTAAAATAAACTGGGCAAGGAAATGGAAAAGCTCTCCAGTGTCTTTGCCAAGAAAACCTCAAATGAAGTTATGGAGCATCAGACACAACTAATTGGGAGGAAAAAAAATCATTGTTTTATTTAACTGTTTTGTTGGTGATGGTGGTAGAAGGAGGGAAGGTTCAATTCCCGGAGATGGATGGGGAGGAGAATATCCAGTAATGATCACAATGCAATAATAATGAAACAAGAGTAACAACAGTAGAAATCAAAGGCAAGATCTCTCAGTTCAGTTCTGTCTAATGGTCTCAGGCTAGTGCCACACCCTGTCCCCATGGGACTCTTGGGTCAACTACTCACGGTTCTGGTGTGTACATCGGCTTAGATCCATGTCTGATGTACTGTGTGCAGTGGAAGACCCGGAATGCCAGGCCACCCAGGAAGTCCCTAGAGGAAAGCAGGCCAGCCACGGGTCGGAGGCGAAATCCAGTACAGCCTTCAGAAGTTAGAAATGGCAAATGGACAAAGAAAACAGAGCTGGTCAGAATAGGTTCTTACCGGCCTGTGACTCCTTCTATAGATGGAAGCCAGAGCCCACATGAGGGCAAATGATGAGTTAGGCAAAAGGAGCCCTTCTCTGAGCACTGAATGTTCATGTATACCTATATATGTGTGTGTGTGTGTATGTGTGTGTGAGTGTGTTATACATACGTGTGTGTACATATACACATATTCACATATAAATGTATATACATATACGTGCACACACATGTATGTATATATATATATATATATGCATATATGTATATCTATCTATCTATCTATATATATATATATCTTTGCTACTCAGGGCTTCCAACCAGCCCAGCCCCCCCTCCCTCCCCAGCCACCAGGAGGTTGTTGTTCAGTTGTTTTTAGTAATTTCTTGACTCTGTGACCCCATTTGGAAGTTTTCTTAGCAAAGATACTAGAGAGGTTTGCCATTTCCTTCTCCAGCTCATTTTACAGATGAGGAAACTGAAAACTAGAGAAATTAAACGACTTGTCCAAGGCCATACAGGCAACAACAGGAAGAGACAGGATGTGAACCTAGGTCTGATGTCCCCCAAGTCACTGCTGTTTCTACTGTACCACCTTACTTCTCTCTCTCAAGATTTATCAAGCACTGTCCTCAAAACAACCCTGTTAGAATGGTGGTATTTATATACCGCCGTATATATGTATCTGTGTATATCTGTGTGTATGTGGTGATATATGCATGTATGTATACATATGTATATATTTATATATTATTGCTCTCATATAGGTTTAGCTAGGTGGTGTGGTGGAAAGAGCACCGGGCCTGAGTTCAAATCTGATGTCAGACACTAGCTGTGTGAACCCTGTTTGCCTCAGTTTCCTTATCTGTAAAATGAACCGGAGAAGGAAATGGCAAACCACTCCAGTATCTTTGCCAAGAAAATCCTAAATGGGGTCATGGAGAGTCAGACATGACTAAACGACAACAAAAATATTACAGATTTTAAAAAAAGACCCAGAGGGATTAAATAATTTGCCCAAGGTCACAGAAGTAATAAGTGGTAGAGATGTGATTTGAACCCAGGTCAAATGAGTCCAAATCCAGTGTTCTTCCTTCTCATTTACTTTTTCTGGTGTTCATGTTTTCACAGGAAACAAGGTCTTAAACTAAAGTAATTAAGTTATAATAGAAATTCTGATCTCAGCATCAAAGGCAGACAAGAGATACACTTGGAGATTGGGGAAGGCTTTCCCAGTGTCTCTTAAATTGACCTTTTTCTTCTTTAATAGCATTTATTACTTTAACGAGTTATTTATAAAAACCAATCAAACTTGTTTTGCAGCAATTTACATCTAAATAAGTGAATTTCACTGCACAAAATATCATGCCAATATCATGCAATCCCTCTAGACCTCCAGCAGGAACCTTCAATCATGTTTTCTTTATTATTCATGTTTGCTCTTATATATTCAGTATGTGTGTAAGTATATGTGTGTGCGTGTGTATGTGTGTGAGGGCATGTATGTGTGTATATGTATTATATGAGTGTGTGTATGTATATACTCTGTTCTTATTCCATTTATGTGTGTATGTGGAAGAAATGTCTTAATGAGAGTGTTAACAAGACAAGAGCAAAAATCTCTCAGAAGAGAAGAGAGCAAGGCATTTCAGAATTGATAGTTAATGACCGGTAAAGGTTTCTTTTTTGGTTTAGTCCAAAGACTTCAGACTAGGGTAAATTTTAATGCTTTATTAATATTTCCAAAAGAGGGAGGGTTAATCTTCTCCACATTTTTCTTTGCCCTATTTCATAAAGACCTTTCCACATGTCTTCATATTATCCACATTGCTATAACGTGATTATTATCACAACTTAACTATTCCTTTAGAGTGGCCTCCAAATTTTTTCTAATAGAACTAAGGTTGTCATGAAAAAATATTGAGCAGATTTGTGTGTATATGTTTTTGAGAACACTTTCAAGTTATGTTTCTAAAAAATGGAATTATCGGGTCAAAGAGATTTTTTTTTGGTAACTTTTATTGTGCATTGCTATTTAATGATATTCTGTTGGGCAATTTCATCAAAAATTAATAAAGATACTTTTTTCTATAACCCCGCTAAGTTGTGAGTTTCATTGCTTTTTATCATTTTTGCAAATTGGATGGATATCAGGTGGTACCTCAAATTTATTTTCATTTGCATTTCTTTGATGATTAGTGAGGTTGAGGTTTTTTTGAAGTAATTATTGACAATTTGTGTTTCTTTTTAAATAAATTGTCCTTTCATATCCTTTGACCAGGCATCCATTATGAATAGGCAATGATTTGCATCGTTAATAAAATACCAATATTTTTTTTAAATTCTCAATTTCTTTAGTTTTTGTTGCCATGATTTTTCCATTATATTTTTGCTTATTTGCATTTCATCTTTTTATCATTTATAAATGCTTTGTCACTTTTATTGATATATTTTTAAAAACCTCTTGGTTCTATTTATCAATTGTTGTGGTTTTAAATTTTCTATTTTTTGCTCTTTTTTATAATCTCTTTTTACCGTATTCTATACTACTATTTTGCCCTTTTTCTTGCACCCATTTTATCTTTTCTCTATTAATATAGTCATTTAAAAATACAAACTTGATTCTAGACACTGCTTTGACTACGTTCTATAAAGATTGACATATGGAATTTTCATAATTTTAAAATTAATTTTATTATTTCTTTTAAAGTTAGAAAAGATCATGTGTCATTCATATTTGTATGTGAAAAATTCATATATATTGTATAATTAGTAAAGGGCAAAGCAGTTTTTTTAAAGAACTATCCTTCCTACTATTTTGTTGAAATCTGCCTCACACAGAGGCAGAAAGCAGTAAGCTCAGTCCTTACACCCCTATTCCTTCATCTTACTGAAAGAGTACCTGACAAGATGTTGAAAGCAGTGGAATATTTTTACCTCAACCCATACCTACATTAATGTAGAGAGGATTCTTCACTTCTTAAAGCTGAGGATATTCTCAGTTTCTCCCTAACTCTCTATTCCTCCAACTGGATCAGAGAAGACACCTAGATCTACTCACATTCCTGAGCCAGAGCAAAGCTTTCTACCTGGAATACTCCCTGGCAGTAATAGCTCCAGCTTCTACCCAAGTCAGACTTGCTAGGCCTGTGCCTTCTACCATCTTTACTCCTGATCAGAATATTGCATAATAAAATTTAAAATTACAACACAAAGTTACCCTTTGTAATATGAGAGACCTAAGAGATAAAATTCCCTCCGTAATGAAAGTCAAAACATCCAGGGACAGGATTGAAGGTGTCTCAAAGGATAAACTAAATCATAAATTGAGTTAAGTAACAAATATATTAATTAAAAGAGTTTCACAGAGAAACACACACAGAAATTAAGGAACATTTTGTGGAACATGATACAATACTACCCAAAGAGTAAAATTTTTGATTGAAGTAGCAAATAATGGAATAAATGAAGTGAATCAGATTAATTGATAATAAGAATAAATTTAAAGAACAATTCCTGCATCTAATGTATCTGAAAAAGCACTTAATGGATATGCCAAATGATGTTACAGGTTTGGAAGACAATACAAGGAGTAGCGACCCCAGACAAACATGGATATAAAGAAGTAGTCACTTGAGGCCAGAGGCATCTTCAAGGAGTGGGATCTCTGACAACAAAGAAAGGAAGTGGCTAGGTGGCACACTGGATAGAGTGCTGGGCCTGGAGTCAGGAAAACCTGAGTGCAAATCTAGCCTCAGACACTTACTAGCTGTGTGACCCTGGGCAAGTCAATTAACCCTGTTTGCCTCAATTTCTTCATCTGCAAAATGAGCAGGAGAAGGAAATGTTGAACCACTCCAGTATCTTTGCCAAGAAAACCCCAAATGGGGTTGTGGACAGGCAGACATGACTGAAAATGACTAAACAACAGAGACTAAAAAGAGTCATCCAGGGATGTGCTGATATATGTAAAACAACTGTTTGTTGAGGGGCAATTGTATGTTGGACACGTTTTTAAGTCTAGATAATTAACAAAACAAATCAAGCCCTGACATATAGAGTTGGCTGATTTCTTAGTTATAAATGCTTATAATGAAAATTTAGCAATCAGCTCTTGGATCAGAGGTGGCTCCAGCACATGGCTGCAGTTATCCCTGGTCATTAAGAATCACGTTATGAAGAACAGACCCTGGGGACCCACAGGAGCAACTTACCCAGCAGAGATGCCACATTCAGGGGGAAGCTTTATGTAGACTTTACACAAGAGAAAAAACTTTGAGTATCAGAAGAATACCAAAGCCTGGCTCATGTGTTCCCTACATATGGTGCCTCGTTACCACTGTCTCTAAGTTCCCACAGAAACCATGTGTATCAGTGGGAGAGTACACCTCATATTTCTGGGAGGGAGCATTTTGTAACTCTTGATCTTACTACGCCATATAAACAAATGACTTTGCTAAGAGCTGCATGTATCTGTCATCTGATTATTAGTGGGAAGTGCATCAGTGGGGGCTTGTGATCTATAGTAGCAGGAATACATACTGAAAGACTGCATATTTCAACCTGAGATTAATCAACTCCCTAGGAACCCAACTTGAAAACCCATGGGTGCTAGTTAGGGAGAAGACCAAAAATGAGCACCTAAAAAATGAGGTAAATAACATTTTCCAATCAGTCAGCTACCCAAAGGCCAAGTCTTCCAGGTCCCCTTTGTCAGCTAAACAGGAAGGATCGCCCTTGATTCACAAGGCAGCACAGCATTGTGGAAAGAAGGCCTGAGAGCTAAGAAGTCATGGGTCTGAGTCCCTCTTATGGCATGTAGCAGCTTGATAGCCCTTAACTTGCCAGTGCCTCCAGACAGCTCTTTAAAACTATAAAATATAGATGCATGGTTAATCTGCATTAGTGGAGAGAGTTTCTTCCTTGGGAATTCCCTATACTAAGGAAAGCACAGGCCCAGCCCTCCCCATCAGCTTCTTCCTACACATTCACAAAGTCACAAAACATTGCACTTTATAGTTTGCAGAGCACTTTATTGAGAACTACGAAAGACCCTAGAGGCATCAAGTCCATCAAGTCCATCAAGTCCAATGCCCTATTCTATAGTTAAGGAAATGGAAGATGCAGAGAAGGTCACTGGTTTGTTCAGGGAGTATCCAGGACCACATAGCTGGCAAGTGTCTGAGATGGGATTTAAACCTAGGTCTTCCTATCTCTAAAACTAGGGGCCTGTTTACTAAGTTGTGATGCCTCTTCTACGTGGGCATTATCCCCTTCAGTCTGGGGCAACTTAGACCTTATAGATAATATTGATATTATAGAGAAAATGGAAGAAGTATATAATTATCATTTAACAGAGGAAGACATTGAGGTCAAGAAAGTTTAAAGGCTTGCCATGGTCATGTGGCTAGTAAGAAGCAGAACTAAGATTTGAATCCATGTCTCCTCCCCCTCCCTCCCTCCACCCTTCTCCCTTTCTCTCACTCTTTCCTTCTCTCTGTATCTCTCTCCCCCTCTCTCTCTCCCCTCCTACCCTCTCTATGTCTCTGTCTCTCTTCCTCCTACCTTCTCTCTGTCTCTGTCCTCTCCCCTCCCTCCTCCCTCCCTCTTTTCCTCTCTCTCTCTCTCTCTCTCTCTCTCTCTCTCTCTCTCTCTCTCTCTCTCTCTCTCTCTCCCCCTCTCTCTTTTTCTCCCTTCCCCCCCTCTCTCTTCCTCTCTCCTTCCTTCTCTCTCTGTCTTTGTCTCTCTGTCTTACACACACACGCAAGTATAGGATGGGAGGATACCAGAGGTAGGGATAATCATGAAATTCAACAACTAAAATTATGCAAATACAATGACTTTCCTAGAAGAAGATGTCTCACCTAGATCTTAAGTAGTAGGTAAACTTACTTTGTAGAAACTGAGAAACATCCTCGAGCTGTGGAATATTGTCTTCCTGGAAACCACAATATTTTTCCAGAAGAGGGAAGATGTGATTGTGCTCATAGCAGGCATGAGTTTTATATAAAGACTTCAGGGTCTTGAACACCACGCCCCATGTTTTCTTCTCTTCATCTGTGTACTCAACTCTTGGGATAGGCTGCCCACTGGAACAAAGATGTAGAAAATAGAGATATGGGTCTGAGGATAAAGACAGTCTTAACAGGAGATGATAGAATCATAGACCCAGGCCTAGAAGGGATTTCAAGACAGTGTTATTACCAATAATAAAAATAAGGAAACTGAGGACCAGAAAGGCTGTCACTTGTGCAAGATCAGACAGCTACTAAGTGGTAGAATTATGAGCTGAAAACTTAAATCCAAAATTTCATGAATCTAAGACTAATGCTTTCCATCAGACCATGGTGGCATCATAAGATCATAGATAGAGCTGTAAGGAATCATAGAGACTACTGAGTCTACCTCCAACTCACTTTACAGATGAAGAAACTGGGCTATCAAAAGTTTAAGTAATTTGTCCAGGGTCACACAACTAGTAAGTATCTGAGACAGAATTTGAACCCAGATCCTCCTGATTCTCAATCCAGTACCTTGTCCACTCTATTATGTTTGCTATGTGTAACAGTTGTTTCACCAAGAAGTTGTAGGGGTTTAAAAATGCAAAAAAAAAAATCTATTTCTTAAAATAGGTATGTTAAGCACTAGAGACACCTGTCCATGCTCCATGACTCCGACAAAATAATCTGGAAGGATATTAGAAATAATCATCTATCCATAGTCAGGTCTGGGCAGTTCAACTTATTTAAAAGAAGAATGATTCCTATATGTGAAGATTTAACTTTATCATTATTAGGGCAGTTAGAAGGAGTCTGCATAGAGAAAGGACATGGGTTTGAGTCAATTATTTTGGGGTTATCCCCCAAAAAAGAATGTATGGGTGAGAAAGAGGAATGCACTGGGAGAAGGGAGAAGTAGAATGGGACAAATTTTCTCAGCTAAAGGAGGCACACAAGGACGAGCTTTTATAGTAAAGGGGGAAATGGGGCAGGTGGTGGCAGGCAATACTTGAGCAACACTCTCATCAGAATTGGTTCAAAGAGGAAAGACACACACACACACACACACACACACACACACACAGTTGGGTATAGAAATCTTTCTTACCCCATAGGGAGACAAAAGGGGAAGAAGATAAGAGATGGGGGGGAGATGAAAAGGGGGCAGATTGGATAAGCAATGTTCCAAAGCAAGACAGACTTTTGAGGAGGGACAGGATAAAAAGGGAGATAGGGAGGGAGAGGGAGAGGGAGAGGGAGGGAGAGGGAGAGGGAGAGGGAGAGGGAGGGAGAGGGAGAGGGAGGGAGAGGGAAAGAGAGAGAAAGAGAGAGAGAGAGAGAGAGAGAGAGAGAGAGAGAGAGAGAGAGAGAGAGAGAGAGAGAGAGAGAGAGAGAGAGAGAGAGAAACAGAGGAAAATGGGATGGAAGGAAATGCAGTTAGTGATCCTAACTGTGAATGTGAATGGGATGAGCTAACCCATAGAATGGAAGCAACTAGAAGAATAGATAGGAAATCAGAATCCAAAAATATGTTTTGTACAAGAGATACACTTGGGACAGAAAGACACACAGAGTTGAAATGAAGGGCTGGAGCAGAGGCTATTACACTTCAGCTGAAGTAAAGAGGAGAGGGACAGTGATTATGACCTCAGACAAAGTAAAAGTAGAATTAGACCTAATTGAAAGAGATAATCAGGGAAACTATATTTTGCTAAAAGGTACCATAGACAATGAAGTAATATTAACAAATTTTACAGCAAGTTTCTCTGATAAAGACTTCATTTCTCAAATATTTAGAGAACTGAGTCAAATTTATGAAGAGACATTTCCCAATTGATAAATGGTCAAAGGCTATGAACAAGTAGCTTTCAGAAGATGAAATCAAAGCTACCTATAGTCATATGAAAAAATGCTCTAAATCAGTATTGATTAGACAAAGGCAAATTAAATCAACTCTGAGGTACCACCTCACACCTATTAGAAATGATAAATGCTGGAGAGAATGAGGGAAAATAGGTACACTAATGAATTGTTAGTGGAGTAGTGAACTGGTCCAACCATTCAGGAGAATAATTTGTAACTATGCCCAAAGGACTATAAAACTATGTATATCCTTTGATCCAGCAATACTAAAACTAGATATGTATCCCAAAGAGATCAAAAATAAAGGAAAAGGGCCTATACATACAAAAATAGTTATAGTAGTTCTTTTGGTGGTGGCAAAGAATTTGGTTGTTGAGGGGATGCCCATCAATTGGGGAATGGCTGAACAAGTTGTGGTATGTGAATGTGATGGAATACTTTTGTGCTATGAGAAATGACAAGGGAAGTGGTTTAAGAAAACCATGGCAAGACCTAAATGAACTGATGCAAAGTGAAGTGAGAAGAACTGGGAGATCATTGTGCATAGTAATAGAAATGTTGTAATGATGATCAACTATGAAAGACATGGCTACTCTGATTAACATGATGATCCAAGACAATTCCAAAGAATTCATGATGAAAAAAATGCTGTTCACCTCCATAGTGAGAACAGATGAACTCTGAGTGCAAATTGAAGTATACTTCTCTCTCAATTTGTTTGCTTTTTTGTGATATAGCTGATATGGAAATGTTTTGCGTGGTTTCACATGCATAATTGATATCTTTATTGTTTGCCTTCTCATTGGGTGAGGGAGGACTGGGAGGGAGAGAAGCTGGAACTCAAAATTTAAAAAGAAAATAGTGTTAAAATAAATAATAACTGTATACATTTTTAAATAAGAAAAGGAAGAATGAACTGGTTCCTCAAGCAGAGACAATATCATCAATCTTCAGCCCTTTTCTAAAAGTGGGAATACTAACTGTCAGACAAGATAAGTCTCAGTCTTTTTCAGCATGGCTGTCTGGTCATAGGAGAAATTCCCTTGGGTCCTGAGTAGACCAGGGTGTTTGGGGTGGAGTGTGATTCCTGGCATCTTTTGTATCTGCAAAAGGAGGCAATGCTACTCACCGATCTCAGCTCTCACATTCTGTGACCTATGATGCCATTTGAGGTGGAGAGCGGTGGCAGAAAGGGAGAGAGTGTTTATCTCGTGCTTAAGAATTGAGAGGGAGACAATCCATGAGTGCTCTGCAGTGGTCAGCTTTGATTCTGGGAAGAGAATTCCTTGACATGATGGCTGAGCAGCAGCCCAAAGTATCCGTCACAAGCCCCCATCTTAGGGATACAAAGTCATCTATCACAACTCAATCAAAATGAGGTCTTTGGTATATTTTCAATAGAAGGAAAACCTGTATCAGGCTCCTCAGTGAAACCAGATTTCCTTTTTTCCCCTTCTTTTCTCCATTTTTATAAGAGGCAGATTGTAATTTTTTTCTCTTAAAGCTGAGACCAAGATGTGTTAATAATTTCCTATTTATCCTACCTGTGGTTTGCTTGTATATGTTGATTTTCTTATTGTCTCTCCTCATTAAATTATGAACTTCTTGAGGGCAAAGACTGTCTTTTGCCTATTTTTTCATGCTGTATTTCCCAAGCTTAGCACAATACCTGGCATATAGTAGGTGCTTAATAAATATTGGTTATAGAAACCGTACAGAAATCTAAAACCCTTAAGAAATGGACCTCAGAGGTCAATTATGACTCAGAGCGTGAATCCTACTCACTGTATCACTGAGAATTATACATCCAATTGTAGGCCCCCAAGGATGGGAACTCTCTGTAGACATATGCATTTTCAGACATCTCTAATTGTGAGAAATTTTGTCTTTTTAGCAAGGCAGCCCTGGAATAGTGACTAGAAATCTGAACTCAGTCAGGAACACTCGGGTTCAAGAAGACTCATCTTCCTGAGTTCAAATCTGTCCTTAGATACTTACTAGCTGGGTGACCCTGGGCAAGTCACTTAACCCTGCTTGCCTCAGTTTCCTCATCTATAAAATGAGCTGGAGAAGGAAATGGCAAACCATTGCAGTATCTTTCCGAAGAAAACCCCAAAATGGGGTCATGAAGAGTCAGACATGACTGAAAAATGACTGAACAATAACAATCTGGTTCCCATCTACCTTTCTAGTCTTTTCTCTCCTTGCTCTCCCCACTCCCTATACACTTTACAAGCAGTGGTACCAAACTCAAATACAAATGGTTCCCTGCTGGCTGCACATTGACTTAGAAAACCACAAATTAACATTATCTCTGTTGTATTGTATATTTATTTCTTTTGTTAAATATTTCCCAGTTACATTTTAATCTAATGTGGGCTGCCCTAAGGGCTTTTGCAAGCCATTAATATTCTGTAGGCCAGAATTTGACCTCTGTACCGTACACCTAATCAAACTGGCCTGCTTGTCTTTCTTCAGCTCAGCATTTCACCCCTGATCTATGTGCCTTTCACCTCTCCTTCCCTGTCTTGGAGTGTGCCTCTTCCTCCCTCTCTCTCTCTCGGAACCTTTAGCTGCTTTCAACTCACTTCTGGTGCCACTTCAGGCAGAAAACCTTTCTTGGTCTCTTTATTCATTAGAGCTCTCTCTTCTCTTCAATGATGCATCTTCCAAGGAGAATGTAACTCCTCAAGAGCAGACTGTCTCTTTGTATCCTCAATGCCCAGCTCAAAAGCAGTGTGGTACAGTGGATACAGAGTCCAAGGTCCTAGGTTCAAGTCTTACCTCTTATTTACTACCTTTAAAATCTTGGATAAAGTCACAACCTCCATGGGCCTCAGTTTCCTCAACTGTAATGAGGGGATTGGCTTCCGAGGCACCTTCTTATAGCTATGATCCTAGTAGATAATTCTTAGATCAGGTGGGTAGAAAGTATACCATATTTCACCACATAATCATTGCAGATTTTATGCCAAATTTTTTTGCAAAAAAGTGGGGTGTGATTATTATGTGAAACTCTTTTTTAAAAAAATTGTGCTGGTATTACTTAAAAATCATTTATTACTAAACTGTCTTTGATGCAATATTAGGATGCACAGAATACTCATGCATATATATTAAAATTAAATACTGACAATGCCAGTGCTCTGAGAATTCTAGCCTCAAGGCTCACAATGCTCGAGAGTTAAGTGTGTATCCATATGCCACTGGTGAATACATTGCGACTCTGTTTACCTTTTAAGCAGCATGACAAGCAGAATTATACCATGTGATGATTACTTGATGAAAGGTTATAAGCCAATTTTAGACTGAAAAAAACTAGGCAGTACCAACAATTATGTGGTGAAATATGGTGTCTAGGATTTGAAGTCAGGAAGATGAGCCCAAATCCATTCTCAGATATCTACTGGCTGTGACCTTGGGAAAATAATTTAATCTCTCTGTGTCTCAGTTTCCTCATCTGGAAAATAAGGGAGGATGGATTTGATGACCTCTAAGTACCCTTCTAGCTCTAAATCTGTGATCCTATGACCACCCACAATAAAATACCGAAGATCAAGTTTTTTCCTTCTCTCCATTTTCTTTTAGCTGGAATGAGCAGGGAAGGCAGAGAAACCCCCACTCCTACTCCCCCTCCACTCTCCCCAAAACAAATCCCACCCTAAATTTGTGCAGGGCATATGGGTTAGGTGGATGAAAGTAGGGCATTGAGTCCTAGTTTACCCTGAGACCACAAGGGATTCATTATTTGATGCCCAGAATAGAGACCTCTCTTTCATGTAAATGATTCTCTCCCCTCCTTGGTATTCCCCATTGAAAGATGTGGGGGAGACCAGAGAGGGCTGATTCAAGCTAGAGCCCTTTGTAGTTATAGAAGACAAAGCTTCTGCAATTATCCAACAAAGCTGAGAGGAGAGAGAGCAGGCTCAATAGCACTGGGGGCAATTTCTTTTTGTCTTCTGGCAATTTTTTGATAAATGCTGGTAGCCCAGGGTTTGGACACCCACACAGAAAAAAAGGAAAGGATACAGTCTCTAGGCAATCATTTCTCAATCCAGCAAAATTAGAGGTGGGGGAGGAGAGCCTTTGGGGTTTGCTTTCCTTTCTTCCCCAGCTGGGAGGTGAGGGACACTTACTGTCTGTAGTTGTAGGCAATGTCGGCAAATTGCTTCCGCCTGGCCCGATACACGGGATCTTTAAAGCCCTAAGGAGAAAAAGCATCATGTTTAGGATTACAGGATCATAGTTCGAGAGCTTCAAAGAACCTCAAAGGCCTTCCAACCCAGCTTTTTACAATTAAGGAAACTGAGGCCCAGAGAGAGATGAAGTGGCTTGTCCAAGACCACACAGGTAGTGAGTAGCCAAGCTGAGATTTGAACCAAGTCCTCTGATTCCATGTTTCTCAGAAACATTTGGGAAGAAATAGTATGATCAAGTGTCAAGTAGGGCATAGAAAGAGAGAGAGACAGAGAGAGAGAGAGGACAGAGAGACAGAGAGACAGAGAGAGAGACAGAGAGACAGAGAGATAGGTAGAGCCTATATCAGATTGCATGCCATCTTGGGGAGGGAGATAGGGAGGGAGGGGAAGAAAAATTTAAAACTCAAAAGCTTGTCAAAGTGATTGTTGATAACTAAAACTAAATTAATAAAAGTGAGGGAGAGGAGAGGAGAGGAGAGGAGAGGAGAGGAGAGGAGAGGAGAGGAGAGGAGGAGAGGAGAGGAGAGGAGAGGAGAGGAGAGGAAGGAGAGGGAAGAGGAGAGGAGAGGGGAAGAAACAGATAAAGAGGAGGGAGGGAGGGAGACAGACAGAGAAACTGAAAGGCAGAGAGTTTAAATAGTAGATGAATGGCTGTAGCTGGAATCCAAACCTGCCAACATGAAGGTAGTTTAGGATAATGGAGCCAACCCAAAGAGAGAAAGAAGGAGTGGATGCCATATTAGTACACAGCATTACAACTCTCAGCATTATGTCTTTGAATAGGCTCTTCCCAAGTCTGGAATGCTCTCTAGTGAGTTTTAACCAAAGTCTTAGTTATAAGTGCAGTATTTTAGGATGGGAACTGCAAAGCTGGAAGAGGCCCAGACTGAAGCAAGCAGAGGGATGAAGGGCCTCATGCTACATGAGAATCAAGTAAAGGAGCTGGGGATACCTAACCCAGAGAGGAACAGACTCACTTAAAGGATGTAAGAGATGTCTTGGTCTGGGTGGCACTGCAGTGGATAGAGCACTGGGCCTGGAATTAGGCAGAAAGAAACATCTTCCTGAGTTCAAATCTGGCCTCAGACACTTACTAGCTGTGTGACCCTGGGCAAGTCACTTCATCCTGTTTGCCTCAGTTTCCTCATTTATAAAATGAGCTAGAAAAGGAAATGGCAAACCACTCCAGGATCTTTGCCAGGAAAACCCCAAATGGGGTCAAGGAGAGTTGGAAATGACTGTAAAACAACTGAACAACAAAATTGGTCTGCTTGGTGCTAGAGAGCAGAACTAGGGACAACCACCATCCTTCCAGTTCCCTGGACTCAAAGATGTCATCCTTGCCTCTTCACCCTCTCTCTCTCTTTCCCCAAAATCAATCCACAAGTTTTGTCATTTCTAACTTTAAATGTCTCCTAAATATGTCCCCTCCTCTCCTTTGAAACTGCTACCCACCTGGCTCAGCCCCTCAGCCCCTCACACCTGGATTATTACAATAGCTACTGGTGGATCTGTCTGCCTCAAGTCTCTTCCCACTCCACTCCATCCTCCGTTCAGCTGTCAAAGTGATCTCCTTAAAGCCTGGGTCTGACCATGTCCAGCTCTCCCATTCAATGAACTCCAGTAGCTTTCCTATTGCCCCCACGATGAAATATAACAATCCTGTTTGGCTTTCATAGTCTTCCATAACCTGGTCCCCTCTGACCTTTCTGGCTTTTCTACACCTTACTTACCCAAACCCCCATAAATTCTGTGATCCAGCCACACTAGCTTCCTAGCTGTTCCTTGAACACTACGCTCCATCCCCTGACTCAGAACGTTCTTATTGGCTGTCCACTGTGTCTAGGACTCTTTCCTCCCTCATCTCTGCTTCCCAGCTTCCCTAGAGCCTTAGAGGAAGTCTGACCTTCTGTAAGAAATCTTTTCTGATTACCCTTAATGCTAGAGCCTCCCCTCTGCTGAATACGCCCGACTTAGCCCAGTCTTTATCATTTCTATATGCAGCTGTTTGCATGTCATCTGAGTTCCTTGAGAGCAGGGACAGTCTTTTGCTTTTCTTTCCATGCCCATTGCTTAATATGGTCCCTGGCACATAGTAGGTGCTTGTTGATTGACACATGGTGGAAGTTGTAGAGTGGCAGATTGGGTCTCACAAAATGAAAAGCCACCCAAAGATCAAAACTGTGCATACATAGTAAGCTGCCCCAGGAGATAGTGGGTTCTGCCTCAGTAGAGGTCCTTCAGAGAAAGGCTGGATGAACACTTACTAGGCATGTTCTAGAGGGAATTCATGTTAAGGACTAGTCTAGATGTCCTCTGAGGTCCCTTCTCCTTAAGAGTCTAAAAGGTTTTGCCCTGGATAAGACCTGGAACCTTAACATGACAATTTTGTTATCATAGTACATCCAAGGGAAAGAGAACTCAATCTGTACTCGTAAGACCTGGGTACGAATCCTGTTTCATTTGTATGACCTTGGGCAATCAACTTCCCCTCTCTGGACTTTGTGTCCCCCTCTGTTAAATGAGAAGGGGTGGGGCTAGATGACCATCAAGGTCCCCTTCCAGCCCTAAATTTACAATTGTGTGATCCTACCTTGGGCTATACCAACCCTTCCAGATCATCACTGTGTCCAGTTACTGAAACATGGAAGACTCTGGCTCAATAAATTTAATGGGTAATGATGGCTAGAAAGTGCCTGTCCCTAGCAGGTTCTCTGGCAGGTCTTTTGTGGATGCTTCTTACTTCAGAAATCTGGGGTCATTCAAGGACAAAGCAACCAGTTTTGGAGTTCAATGTTATTTTCATTTTAAAAGTTATGGCCACAGAAGGAAATGGACAAGCTGCACCTTGGACCATCAGGACACTTCACACAATGCAGGAAGAACCAAATGTCCCAGGAGGGGGACGTTGTGAAATTGTTTATTCCAGCAGGGCCCCCTTGGAGAGGCCTCTTGTGACAGTGGATGGTTTGATGTTTCAGAAGATGTTTTTCAACTTTTGGAAGGCACCTCCCCAACACATACACGTGAGCATGTGCGCGTGCACACACACACACACACACACACACACACACACACACATTGAATGACCCCTTCAAACAAGTTCATGGGATCATAGAATTGTAGACTTAGGGCTGGTAGGGAATATCAGAGACTGCTTTATACTACAGAGGAGAAAACTGAGGCCCAGAGAGGTTATAGGATCATAGATCTAGAGTTGGAAGGGACCATCGAGCTCATCCAGCCCAACCCACTCATTTTTACAGTGAAGGAAACTGAGGCCCAAAGAGCTAAACAAATTATAGACCTAGAACCAGAAAGGACCTCAGAGGCTGTCTAGTCTAACCCCCTCATTTTACAGATGAGGAAACTGAGGCACAGGGAAAGGAAATGACTTTTCTAGGGTCACACATCTGGTAGGTATCTGAGATGGGATTTGAACTCAGAATCCTCTGAGGTCAGCATCTGTGGGGGTTTTTTTGTTTTTTTTTTTTTAACCATACCACCATACTTCCTCCCCACCTCTGTTCTCTGACAAGTATGGTGTACTGCACCAGAGTTCCATCCTCACCTCTGCTCTTTGTTCACCTGGTGTCCTCAGCACAATCATTGTCTGGGCCTCAGTTTCTTCCTCTGTGAAATGAGGACCAAATGATCTCTAAAGTCTTTTCCAGTCCCAGAATTCTATGACTGATGTGCAGAACTGAGAATAACCACCAGGTTTAGTTGAGAATGAAGTGCAATCTTTACAAGAGGAGAGTTGAATTTGGGGGCTTCAGTAGAGTGAAAGGTTTAATGTCCTTGGTTCTGATGACCTTTCCTTTCCTTCCTTTCCTTCCCTTCCTTTTTACCTTCTCTCTCCCTTCCCCTTCCCTTCTCCCTTCTCCCTTCCTCCTTTCCTTCTCTTCCCTCTTCCCTTCCCTTCCATCTTGACTTTCCCCCTTCCCATTCCCTTGCCTTCCCTTCCCATATTTATTAGACATCAATGTAGCGCCATGCAATGAGAAGACCGCAATGGATTTATAGTCAAAGGACCAGGGTTCAAACTCCCCCTTTGTCACTCACTAACCACATGATCCTAGTTAAGTGACTTTACCTCTCTTAGCCTCAGTTTCCTTATCTGTGAGGATGGTCTGAGAGGTCCCTTCTATTTCTAAATACTATGATAATTGATTATTTCAGAGGTGAATATGAGTAGACAAAAAGTAGGATTGCCCCTCTATTTCCCCTTCTCACCTTACCGTGGTCATTTTTGTCTGTGCTGTTGTACTTCTGTGGGACTAACCAGAATTCCAGCCCTGAGCCTATCATAGAATTGCAGATAATTAGAGTTGGGAGTGATGTCAGAGACTATTGAGTCTAACTATTGTGACCAAGGATCCCCTTTATATCAATCCCCAAAGTGTTGCCACCTAAGCTTTTCTGGGAACCCACCAGCTCCAGAGTCAGCCTATTCTACTATGGACAGCTCGCACCGCTAGGAAGGTTTTTTGACAAGTCAACATGGGCCTCATGACAGTTGCCATGCTGTGTTCCTCATTCTGCCCTTTGGGGCTCAAGCCCGGCAAGTTTCTTCCCTATAACAGCCCTTCAGATCCTTGAAGCCAGTTCTCATGCTCCCATTTAGTTTCCTCTCTGGGCCTGATTTGCCCTTTCCTTTGGTCAGCAGGATGACTATTATGCTTCTATGGGACCCCAGGTCTTCTGTCACCCACAGGGGCTGCAATAAGAAGGGAGTTAGCTATACTTGGTGAATGACTAATCACCCTGTCACCATTTAAACTAATAGCGGCAATTTCAGCAGGCACTGCATGGGATTTATTTATAATTGCTCCATCTCAATTAAACTAATAGCGGCAATTTGGACTGCACAGCACGAAACTCAGTATATTTTGACAGGAAAATAAATTGTTGGGGAAGGAGGGGGGAGGAAGGGAGCAAGCATATTGCAGTAAGATGCAACATGATTTAAACACACACACACACACACACACACACACACACA